TCTGTGATTTTGGGACAGGCCATAAATCTTGGCCGAGAAGCCGTTTAACATTTTTGTAGTAGTCGGCAGCCGGCAACTCTTAGCATCTCTCTACCTCTCATCTTGCCAAACAATAGGCGTAGTTTAGAGCTCGTTTGATGGCCAGGACTGGTCCGGGGGCTGCATCTTAATCAGGTGCAGCGTCATAAGTCTCGGTTAATTGTGGCAGCCGAGCTCTTCTCTGTTTTAGGAGAAAAGGGGTTTGGGTCCATTAGAAGCCTGAGATTTATGCGCGGACTAAGTGGTTCGACTCCAGGCGATTACCGCCTTTAATTAGACATTGTTTGGCCAGGCAGTTGGCCAAGAAGTGTGCTTTTTTATGGTAAACACCGCGCCCGGCACTCAAAACAAACTAAAATAAAATATTTAGGACTTCTTTGGGAAAAAATAAGTGATAAAAATGGTATAAAAAGAGACATAAATATTTACTTAAAATATATTTTTTATACTTTAAGACTAAATTCCAAGCATTCTTTGATAATTTCTTAAATAAACTCCATAAGAATCTGAATGAAACTTAAAAACAATAACAAATTCTAAACGTAGACACCACTCTAACACCACTTTTGGGTGTGTAGATAATCTTAACCTTTTGACATTTTCTATTCCTATTCCTTAACATGCTGGTTTGACCGATAAACTTTCACAACAATGCGAAAGCCAAAAAACCTTTTCTTGTTAACAAAATCCGCAGCAACGGGAGTTCGGGTAGCTCCGTGATTATAGCCCACAATCAATCAATAGTTATAATTGGTCATAATTCGGTAGCCGGCCACTAATTAGATGCTTTACAATACAACCAATTTACCACGCGCCAATGCTTTTTGGCCAGGCCAAAGAGGCTAAGAGACGGAAAGAGAGAGAGAGAGAGAAAACCCGCACAGCAATTTAACAAAATATGGAAGCAGATTTATCATATGCAAATTGCTCAGGCATAACAATAGACCCAGCTGGGTTGAATACGGGTTCCGAGCACTGGACAAGAATCGGAATCAGAGCCAGACTTTAGCGGAATCACAGAAGATCATAGAAGATCTGAAAAGAGAAGACTTCAAAGACTTTGGAGACAGACACACACAAGAGGGCCACAATTACCAATGGTGGCTTATTAGAACAACTTCTGCTGGGCATTGTTCCTAATTAATCCATGGGGGAATGCATAAAGCCCCTTCGCTTTTTTCTGGTCACTATCAACACCTCATTACTCTTTTGATCACACTCCTCGTTAATGAAGATGTCAGCGGCAGCTGCTGCCGCCGCACTAAAATAAAATAAAAAACCCCAAAAGATACAAGATACATTTGAATTCAAAATTCAAATCAATGTTCAGAATTCCACTCTGCGACTCCGAGAGACTCCAACTTGCGAGGCGACAAAGATTAAATACCAACTCTGCTGAACTGCCAGCGAAGTTCAAATACTCTTCTTCGTTTTTGAGGCTGAAAATGTTTAAGAAGTCGTAGATACCCGGTGGAGGAGCGCATCCGAAACCGAAACCTGTATCTGCATAAAGTTATAAACAAAGAAAACAAATTTGTCTTATCGCCCAATTCCAAATGAGATGACAACGAGACAAAATCACTCCAGCCCCATCTCCCGTCTCTCCCAGGCCCCATCCTAGGGCTGCGCGTTAAAAGCTCGAGCTCATTTAAGGAGCGGACAAACACAAATGCACATTTTTTTAATCGCTCGGCTCATTAACAGAGGGGCCCAGAGACTCAACCCAGGGAATCAACGAGGTGGGGGAGGGGGTTTACCTGGGTCGGGTCATCTGAATCGCCATTGTGGCCATTTAAGTTTGAGCATAAATCAGTCGACTGGATGGCGACACTCTCACGCATTTCAATATCCCAACATGTTTCACGGGCATACCTTTGGATTTATATATATATATATATATATATATTATATATGTAGGTATTATATATTTTTCAGTTTTTAGAGCCAGGAGTTTATAGAACAAAAGCTCTTTTACTTTGACTAAACGAGTTCTATATTCAAATGCAACATGTTTGGTGAACAAATTGTAGATTAAGATGAATTAAGATATAATTTATTAGTTTTAGCTTTAAATAAACGATTTTATCAGCAACTTAATCTATTATTAACGTTTTAGCATCTTTAATAGATGTTTTTAAGTTTCTGTATATTTAAATATCAATCAATTAATCATCATTTAGGAAATTATAACAACTCAAATCTATAACGCTAAAAATACTAGACACCAAAACAGGGCTGCTCAAATTCTTCATACGACCCAGCATTTACTAACATAAATACAAGAATGCGTTCACATATTTAGTGACGTTTTTGTGTTGGTTTGCAACTGTGCACTGAGAGAAAAAGACTCATTTTTGCTAACCAATTCATCCCTCATTTTACTGACCCGCCAAATGCGACATAAACTTTAAAGTGCAAACAGAAGTTACAAAGAATAAATTTCAGTGCAAGTGCTCGAGGATTATACAGGAGAAAACAAGAACAAAATATATTACAGTTAGCGACGGAATGAGGCGGAAAGAGGAGAACGAAAAATTGTTGGTGGAATAGCTTCAGGGCAAGCAAGCTCATATGCAGCGAGCATTTACAAAAACAAATTAGCTCTCATAGGCAGCATAGGTTGCTCAACGCCCCTGCACTAAAAGATAAAAATTAATATTAAATGAAAACAACTACTACTTATAACCCATAAAAAATTGCCAATTTTCCTATCACAAACTTTCCTAAACTGCCTTTTTGTTCATTTAAGCAATACTAACTTTTTCTGATTAAATTTTACTACCAATCAGCTCAAGCCTGCCCAAGTCTTTTCTTTTCCACTCAATCATCAAAACTTTCAGTTGACTTTTCACCAAATTTCCCAGCACATACATTCCTTATAACTAACTAAAACTTCGTGACTATATGTTAACCCTATGCTATGTAATTGCAGATCCTTTAACCCATGGGTGCCGTGCGACTTAATTGCTTTTGCGTGTTTGATTGCCGGGGAGGAGACACCAAAAGGGGCACCGCAGGCCCAAGGAGACCCTTCTATTTGACGTATAGTATTTGTTTTTGTAAGCCGTAAATGTAATGGCGGAATAACGACACTCATTCCCATTCACAATCTGGGAATGATATTTGCCTGCGTCTGGCATTGGTTAACTCGCTGTTTGCAATGAGAAGGGTTAAGGAGGGGGAAGGGGTCTAGGGGCGAGCACAACATTGTTGTCATATTAGTAAACGTAACTAACTTTAGTTATTGCTGGTGTTGCGACTTCGCACGTTTATGGTCCATTTAGAAGTATGCAATGGCGATGTTGCGTTGGCTCGCCAACAGATTTATCACCGGCTCCTTGCCTGGGGAGTCCACAAGATGCACTGAGAGAAATTGTAACTAAACATTTTTCAAATATTTATAAATAAAAAAGTTACCAAATCAGAATGTTATAAAACCGTTTTTCTTACCTTTTAAGGTTCTGAAATTTCATACATGGTTATTTTTTCAGTGCATTTTAAGTCTGGCTTTGAAGCCTTGGTAAAGTTCATCGATTTCCGCCAACCAAAACAATAAAAACTGCTCAAAAGCCAACAGCGGGCCACAAAGATTTGGCAACTTTGTTGCAGGACAATCACCAGGACTCAAGACTCATCAAGTGGCCAACTGATCAGCTCGCTGAGGATGCTGTGGATATACGACCTGGACTGAGCTGGCTCGTAAAAATGTTTGACTGCGATTATATGGCGCTCATGAGAGCGCCACTTTGCCCTGGTCCATCAAAGGAAGTTATACCACCTCCTCGGGTTCCTCTTTTCCCTCAAAAAAAAAGTGAGCTGATGGAATCCCCATCAGATTTTTAGTACACTAAACGAAATCACTGAACAGCCGCTGAAACCAAGGCATACCAATGTTGAAAAGATATATGTAGACATAAATATATACACATACTTTGTTTTTGGAGTGACCCACAGCCGGGGCGGAGACTGTATAAATATCGTATAATGTATAATTTATGGTCGCGAGGTGAAAATTTTTTCAATAGAAGGTGATTTAAATTTATTAAAGGAATGCTCACGAGCAGCTCCGCACTAAATTAGAATAAGTCGGTGTTGGTTAGGCAGGGGGAGCAGGAGGGGAAGCCATTTGCTCATAAAAACCCAAGCAAATTGAATTTGTGGACACCCGATGCCAGATGGCCGATGCCCAATGCTGTTCCCTGATCCCAATCCCGATCGGAGCTGTAAGTATCGACACGAAAGAGCTCCACGCTCTCCGCTTATCAGATGCGAAGGCACACCGGTAGAGGCCAAGCTCATTTAAATCTCGGCCAGAGTCAGAGTCAGAGCCAAGCCAGAAATAAAGACGCGCATCCACCCGGTTTGCAACCTAAAAAAGTCAACGATCCGATCCAATCCAAGCCTGCAAGCTCGCCTTTTGTTAACACCATAATTTACATTGATTTATGTGCTTAGTTTGGCTCGGCATTTTTAATCGGTCAGCGGCGAGAGCCCCCTCCTCCTATTAAAAAAAAAAAAAAACCAATACCATAACCATTCTCCCCACATCTCCTATAGTTTGTCCCCACTGTATGCTTGTCTTCGAGAGCGGCTTCATTTGGTTATAATTAAAATGTCGATGTTATCTACCAAGATTTGGACATATTGGCCATTACGTTCGAAATTTAAGCGATTTCTATGCGCGTATCTTGGCTTTTGATTTCGATTTCGTTGGCATTTCTAATGCCTGCCTTCGGTCACACAATGAATATTGATTGTATTAATATTTAATAACCTTTTTTAAGAAGCTTTCGAGTGTTAAATGCTTATTTATGTCTGTTTTCTGTGTGTTTTCTGAGTGGTTAATTATGCCTGAAATCGAACGAATAAATTGTATTTGTTGTCAAATCAAAGCAAGGTTTGTTCTTAAGTCACTTCCTTGTTAATATTATTTTATAAACAATAATTAAACAATTTTTAAATATTTTTTGCTTTTTCTTTTATTTACTTTCTCACTCAATGGTGCTTGGTTGGTTGCCTTTCGATTTGAGCCAAAAACACTTAGCCTACCAAATATCAGTTCAAACGCAACCCAAAGGGAAACCCTTACATAATACGCATTCATAAATAGATCGTTCTTAGGACTATAGTTAAAGTTAATATAAGATATAGTTATATATTGCATATGCTATAGCCTTAAATGGTGATGAGGTAAGTCGGCAGCCGGCGAAGTCTAGTAATTATGCATAACTGTAGGGTATACAATGGATATGTGCATTAAAATGGGGCAAGCGTGTTCGTGCCTAGTATTAGTTACAATTTCTTGCTAATCTTAAGCCACCCATTATATATTGTTGTTGTTGTTTTTTTTTAGTTTTGTTTTCTAGTTTTTTTCTAGCGACCCCGAACCGCAGGCAAGTAGGTGAGCAGCATTTTAACTTTGGTTTTTCGATTTGTTTTTTCTGTTTTTTTTTTTTTGCCCACACATTGTAGTCGCTTCTCGTGTTTCAGTCCACCAAGTTGCACTTGCAATATCATAAGTAGTTGTTGTTTTTGTTGCTGTTACAATTGCAATTGCTATTGCTGTTGTTGCTGTCAATCACAGAGGCGCGCACAACTCAAGTTTTCAATTAGACTTTGCCGCCTAGCGGTCATGCTTTAGATATTGCAACGTGGCCGGCGGCGCATCGGAGGATGACAGGCGGGCCACCTTTGCCGCCGTTGCCGACGACGACTCAATTTCACCATCTGAATCGTCGTGGACATTGATCTCCTCATCCGAATCGGACGACGAGTTGTCCACCGTCATGGTTGAGCCACCAATGGGTCCTGTACCCTCTCCACCAACTGGTAATCCCCCAGCGGCCGTGTAATGCAATCGAGAGCGTTGCTCTTCGGCCACCGTTAAGGAGGCAGCCACTGCATATTGCCTGGCCAATCCCAGGAAGGCAGCCGCCGATGGAGAGCTAACCAGACTCCTAAAGGCACTCCTTTCTCCTCCCATGGACAAATGATTCGCCGCTGGACTGCAGCCAGTAGGTGAGAGTTGCTGCTGCTGTTGCTGTTGTTGCTGTTGCTGCTGCTGCTGCTGTTGCTGGTGATAGTGACTCAGGAGTTGCAAGGCTGCTGGATGCGTGGGAAGGTGCAAAGGATGATGATGATGATGGCCACCAGGCGGTCCATGCAGGGGGTGCAACATCACCGAAGGCGGCGGAGCCTGCGGGGAATGGTCACCGCAAAGTGGCAACGGCTGCTGAGGAGGCGGAACCGGAGCCACTGGAGCGGAGGTGGAGGCACTACTGTGGTTACTGGGCGTGGGCGAACCGGCCGGTGCATCGTTGGACTGCTGAGAGTGCAAGGGATTGGCGGGACTGGAGCGCTGACGCTTCAGGAGATTCATGCGCTGATGGCGACGCCATTTAGCTCGTCGATTGGAAAACCAAACCTGAAGGAGGAAAATTAAGAGGAATTAAATGATGGAAATTTCTTGGATTTCTTAGGTAGAGGAAGGGAAATTTTTTAAGGAAAATCTTAGCTGATAAACCCAACTCACCTGAACTCTCGCCTCGCTCAAGCTAGTCCTACTGGAAAGCCTCTCCCTAGTGCTGACACACGGATAATGACTCTTGTCGAACTCCTTCTCCAGCTCCTCCAACTGCTCCGGACTAAACGTGGTCCTGTTTCTCCTAAACTTAGGCTCATCATCATCATCCAGATAGTCAGAGTCTATGTGCCTGTTTTCATCAGCAGACTCCAAGGTATCATGGCTGCCAGAACCAGGAGAGATGGCTCTATTAGAGGGTGCACCTCCTGCACCACCAGCCATGAGATGAGCAGAACTCAGGGAACCACAAGTGGGAGCTGGCACTGCACTGGCAGCACTTGGCGGTAGATTGGCCAGCGTGGGAGCCGCAACAGACCACAAGGCAGATGGAGGTGGTGGTGGTGGTACCCCTTGGCCACCTGGAACACTGCCAGCCGGATGCCAGGTGAAGCTGCCATACGGATGAGGGGGCGGCGGATACAGGCCGTAGGCGGCGGTGCGGGCAAACTCGGTGGCCACCCGTTCGGCGGCTCGGTTGCGCAGGATGCGATTGATGCTGCTCACCGATGGTGCGGTGGCATTGGTGCAGACACCTGCAAGGCGGGATTACGCAATTACCAACCAATCCAGATCGAGATTAAAAGCTAAAAGCGACCGCCGATCAATCAGCGATCAATCTGGGTCCCCATTCCCCCCTCCCCACCCGGAACACCCGGATTAAGTCCAATTATCTAGATATCTGGAACACTCACCTTCTGAGATCAGGCGTTCGCGTATCTCCCAGGCGAAGATCGTTGGATTCTCTCGCTTGTACTGCTCGATCTTGGATACGACCGTCGGCGTGGCCACCTTGGGCTTTGAGCCACCAATTAAGCCCGGTGGTCGCAGCGAGCCTGCAAAAATCCGAGCATAACCAAGAAAATTATGAGACAATCGATTTATGATCCATTGCCAGGCAGATTTTGGCAATCAATTTAAGTTATTGACTGCCAGCAAGGCTTAACCCTTATTTTTGAATATCTTTATCTGTTAACCTCATCAGCAAGGAAGTGTTAAGAAGAAAACATGAGAAGGGGAAGCTATATGTACACTGCTATACAGGGTTTAGGTTTATCTTTTTGTAAATAAAGAAAAACTGGTTTAATAATTCAAAGTTCCTAACTTTCTGTTCTCTTTTCTTTTACCAATATTAACTACAACCTATTTTCTCTCAGTGCCCTCACAGCACGCACCAACCAACCACCACACTAACTGAAAAAGAACCAGCCCGCGTATAAGCCGCATTTTGATTAATGAGCCAACCGCGTTTTGGCCACCGCCAGTCAAGGAGTTTATGCAATTTTAAGTGGCTAAATTACACGGCTGCGCACACGAGGGATACGAGTTAACAGAGAGTAGGGGAACTCGCAGGATAATAACATGTTTATCATCAAAATTAGCAAACAAATCGAGAACAAAGTGCCTATTAGTTATCCGCTGGCGGATCTTTAAGGGTAGAACTTCACCTAAAGGCTCCTTAAGCACTCACTTACCTAGCAACTTGGAGACAGCTCCCTGCTGGGTTAGCATGTGCTGGGCAATGTCATAGCCACGCAGACCACCGAAACGTGAGAATTCCAGAAGGCGATGCTGTGACATTAGGTTGTTGAGAGTGCTCCCCGTGGCTCCGGCTGCTCCAGGTGGAACTACTGATGAGATGCTGCCGCCGCTGCCACCACCGCCAAAGCCGGGCGGTATTTGCACAGATGTGGGTGATGTGGAGGCCGTTCCGGAACCCGCTCCCGCTGCCGCTGCTGCTGCCGCCGCTGCTGCTGCTGCTGCTGCTGCCACGGATGCCGCCGCTACTGCAATTGAACGAATTGAATGATAATTGGCCATTGTCATTATATTGTGGCTTTAGCTGTGCCGGCCACAATGGTTAATTATGATAAATTAACAGTTAATTGTGTTGACTGAACTGAAATGACTGATGGGTTTACGAGTTTGTATTTCTATATCCCCTTTCTAACAACAACAACAATTACAGAAACAACAACCAATGACGTTTCGATCTGATCGCCAAAATGGTGGCAACACGCAAATCGAATCTCTCCCCCGCGGCACGGGCAGATTTATCAAGCTAATTGACGACGACAAGGAGCCAGTCCAAGTACAAAAGGCGAAAATTAAAATATGTACTCAGCTGGCTTAAATGAGAGAGAGAGAGAAAAAAGAAAATAAAACACCGACTGTGTATTACGTTAATTCGACAGAATATTAAATTATTTACCTACATATATCATTCTTGACTTGGGCAACTCCAAGTCGTCGTTCAAATTGTCAATTAGCTTTCTTAAATGCGCGTTTCACTTTTGTTGTTTGTCGGGTAAATATTTTTTAAGAAATACGTCCCTAACTGGCATTATAAATGGGCCCATAATCAATTGTTGCCGCTCTCATCAAATGAGAACCAGTTTTGTTTATATTTTGTCTATTAGCCAGAAAGGTGAAAAGCAAGGAAACTGTAAGGCTAAATGGGCCACGCACTTGCTATTATTTGATATGCCTAACTGTTTTGGGTTGTTAATTTTTATAGATTTAAGCTTGTTATTATTTAATATTAATTATTTGTTAAGTACTTTGAAGTGAAGAAAGTTGTAATTTCGTTTTTTGACAAGGCAAAACGTTTTGAGGCGAGGCACTACGGGAAGCAGTTTTTGATTTTTAGTTCTTAAAAAAAACTAACATAATTACGGGTTCATTATAAAGTGGATTTAAATTCAATTGAAAGTAAATTTGCTATTAAAATGTTTTATTTTAGGCGGATCTCTTTTATATTCAATCTATATCTTAAGGCAAAGACAAAATGTAAACAAAAATGAATTATAAACGCCCCTTTTGAAAGATTTTAATTTTTTCAACTTTAAACTTATTAAATATTTTAGAAAAACTAATTGAAAGATGATTTTTCCTGTTCTAAAAATCAAGTTACTTGAAAAGAAACTTTTTTACTTATTTTATTTCTTGAAAAAGTAAGTTTAACTTTCTTAATTAAACTTTAAAATGTAAAGGAATGATTGCTATATTTCAAAAGCTTGATATATGCCACCTTTGACCTAATTTCTTGTGCAATTTTTGAGTTAAGTTTCATCACAATTTGCCTTATTGAGAAATTCCTAAGCTTGACTTTGCCGACGGCTAAATTTCCAGACAAAAACTTGACGACACTTACCACTGGAAGCATGAGGGGCCAGCGATGTGATGCGTTGGGGATGGGGCTCCATTTTCCAGTGCGCGGCCGAGAGGCCAGAATTAGCGACAGTAAGCGAGCCAAGGTCACGGTTTAAAGTCGGCTCAATCAACATGTCTAAGAATCGCTCTGATCAAGTTTTCCTTTTATTTAATGTTATTATTTTTTCACTTTTTTATTTATTATTTATTTGACTTTTTCCAGCGGATGGAACACAGAAAAACAGTCACAATCACAGTCACAAAAGTTGCACATCCAAGACAGAAGTATCGATTATAGAGAATGCAACCGGAAACGGAAATGGAAACGCAATGCGGTCAATTGGATTCATAGCGTGCTGCTCTCACTAACACAGGCACATATTCGATCTCGGCAGAAACAGTTAGAAAACGTTTTCTTTATTTTTTTTTTCTTAATTTTCTTCTCCTTTTTTTCTGTTTTTTTGTAGAATTTCTTTCGAACACTGCGCTCCGTTGAAACGTTGTTCACGCGAAAGCTGCTCTCAGCACAATGAGCGCTTGAATTTCACCTGGTCGCCCGGGTCACTCCACTCCACTCGAACCGTTTCACTCGTTTGTTTTTTTCATTTGAGTGTTTTTCGAAATGCCCAACCGGTTTGCGAGTTTCGTACTTTCATAATGGCGCCCGTTGTGGGAAACTCTTTCTCTTTCGCTCGTATAGGGGCGAAGGAGACAACTATAGAGACACTGCGCGCACACAAATCAAACAATTATAAACTCGTTGGTAAAGCGCTAAGTATAAACACTGAAGAAGAAGAGCAGACAAAAAAGCAGAGCGAGTGAGTGAGATGTATAGAGTAGGGGATGGCGAAGAAGCAGAGTCACCAAAGAAAGAAGACGAAGAGCAGGGTAACCCTCGTTATTTTCATTACAACAAATTAACTTCGAACATCAGGCGTTAGAAGTCAGCCTTTACGTGCATTTAACTCCTAATTTAGCATTCAAATTGATAGAACGTTGAATTAAAATTGTATCATTAAAGACCATTTAGTTTATGTTCTCTGCTGATTGATGGATTCGATTTTTGGTCGCATTAAGTCAGAGACCATGGCCCCAATAAGTAGGCACTTTCAAATTCCAATTCTTAATTACAAAATCTTTGCTTTTTGAAGTCCCCTTAAGTTTAAGAAAGCTTTAAAATATATATGTTTAGTCCTAATTCTAAATTCTAAAATATGTTAGAAAATCTTAATTACTTTTATAGAAAATTTTTTAAAAATGTTAAAAAGTTAAACACAATACAATAAAAAAATAAATAAAATTAATTTTTACACAATTAATACATTTTTTACTCAATTTTCTTAACTATTTGGCTAAGGCTTAGACGGGAAGCCTTAACAGTTATTGATTATCACTTTAAAAAAAAATTATTGATAATTTTATATCAAAGTTAAAAAACTATTCTTTACATATATCAATTATTGGTTTTGCAAAAAAAAGGACAAATAACTGCTTATCTGTTATCAACATTATTTTCTTGAAATCAAATGTTGGTAAGAATCACCAGAAACCACTACCTCGATAATTAATAACCTTTTTAAAGGACCAAATCGTATATCTAGAGAAATGTATTATAAAAGTCACTTGAGTGCAGCGAAGTAGCCAAATTACACCAAACCGAAACCACAGTCATGAATCCCGGCCAAAACCTGAACCATGGATACCATTCGCATGCGTTTGCCATACAGGTTTGTTCTGCTAGGTTAGGTCGTTGTCTTTGGTGCGTGATGGATGATTGATGCGCTGCCTGGGCAAGGCAATCCGATGTGAATCGAAACTGCAACTAAACTACACATGGCGTGATCGGGGAGCCACACAGAACATGGTCCCGAATGGCAGAGTGGCCTGCACAGAAGCCAAATTGCATCAAAGCCCACGAATTGAGTGGCTCCCGGCGCTGCAGGATTGCAAACTGAAAGCTGAAAGCTGAATGCCGAGTTAAAAAGCAATTACCCCAAACGATCGATCGGGATGGGTAAAGAGGAAATCCAGAAATCTGGCTGTGAAACGGTATGGTATGGCATGGCATATGATATGACAGACTCACCTGGCGATAATGAGATGTCTCACTAAGCTGATCAGAACTGCCTTTGTATTTATTTGTCTGTTCGAATGCAAAGTGCACAATGCGGCGAAGATACTCGGATGTATAGGTACATATATGTTTCTTCGATTTGTGAAAGGCAAATCATGAATGAACGTTGCTGACGATGACGTTCGAGTGCCCTCATGCCAGAGATCCAGAGCAAACGCAAACAATCGAACAGGAATAATTTACTAAGTAAATAATATCTGGATACTGATCGCTGCACGGCAAGAAATAAAGTATTAGTATTAATTTTTTATGATATTAAGGGATTTCTCGAAGAAAGTAGAACAGCTTAATAACAAGCTCTAAAATTATGCATTCGATTTAATTCAAATAAAGAAATAATAACTTACTTTTAAACCAATTTTAGTATTGATTTTATAACCATTTATCTTCAGATTTTTCCCCAAGTGTGATCCCTGCGAGTAGCGTGCGCCCTCGCCCCATCGAGTGGCACTTCAACAATCAAGCATTCACACAAGCAGATGGTCCGCAGCCGTTGGCCGTTGGCGACCACCTAAATGAAATTTCATTTAGTTTTCGCCCGTCATCGCTGCCGCAATCGCAACCCGCTCCTCGAAATCCCTCCCTCCATCTATCAATCCCTGCCAGAGTCCAGTCTCCTATTTGCTTATGCACACATTATCAACGTACGCCCGCCTTATTGAGTGTTTGTTTACCTAATTCGATTACCGATCGCGTCCGTTCGCGCCATAGTCCGGCGATCACTTGACCATTTGGGTGGCACAGAGCCGTACCTATGGGGTCCACTCTTTGGTCAGATTTCGTGCGTAATCGCACCACAGCAGCAGATGCACTGCAGCTGGACTTGAAGATGGAGATGGAGATTGAAATGCTAATGGTAATGGATATAGAGCTGGGGCCTTAATTGAAGATCGTGCCAAGAGGCTACATACTTTCATCGATTCACAGCCGCGGAGGTAAATTAAGTTTTAATAACTTGAAGATTAGGAAAAGTAAGCACTCAAGCTTTTCATGGAGTCAAAAAGGAGTTTAGATGGGCAAATTGAAATAAAAAGTTATCAGAAATAAGAAAATAAAACCTTGTCAGTATCAAAATATGCAAAATTGGCTTTTGCTAACTTAATTTGATTTCACATTCCTTTACACTCTTTTCTTTAAAAACCTAAATTCTTAATGTTAAGTACAAAATTTCTGTCTCTCCTTAACTCTGGGTACTTACTTGAAGTTTAAAAAGTTTTTATATTTTATTTTTTTAAGTTTTACTCAAAATTACAATTAGAAAGTTACAAGTAAAAATTAATTGGATGAAAATGAAAATAAAGAACCGCAATTTCCCCTTAAAAAACTAAAAAGTACATTTTCAGAGTCTAACGGTTTTCTTAGAGATGGCCAACTTTTAGAAACAGCACTGTTAAATATCGATAACAATTTCATTCCCCATCGATACTCCCTTGAATTTCCCCTAAATATAGCCGCTTAAAATTATGGTCACACCAGCCCATACACTGATAAGTTGTCCAGTTGGAACGAATTTAGTTAACATTAATATTAACGAAAAATAACTATTTTAAGATGCGCACAGTGCTGTTGAGCAAACACGATGAGCTGTACCTGGAGAAATGCGCACAGGAGAATCAGTTCTCGTACGGCATAATTGTCGGCCATGTAAGTACCATCCGCCACGTAGATTTTTTGTTTGGTTCACCCGCTCAACTGAATTTCCATTTCCCCTGTGCATCCGGGATTTCACATTCGATAGCAAGCGGACCTCACCAAGAGCATTGTTGTACACCTGGCCAGGAACAATGAAGAGGATGCGGATGTGGAGGACCTGGCGGATGTTCGGCTTACCATTTCGGATATTAACTCACAGGCGTTGGCTTCTCAGTGGCTCAGCGCCAGCAAAATGTGTCCCGGATCCTTTGACGTCATCGGTGGGTTTGCGTGCGGCCCCCGGAGTTTTATATGCCCTACCCATAACTTATTTTGAGCTAGGGAATATTATTAATAGGATGATGTCTATCATTAGAAGTAGAAGCTGCTGCCCAACCCATGTCGTATATATATGTCGCTTACTCACCACAGATATGTAGTATCTGTAAGATTGTATCTTTTGATCTTGTAAGGTATGTTTATTAGAGACTCTTCAAAAATATTCCGGTAATAAGAAGTTGTAAAACTCATGTTAAAAAATCCGATAAATCTGAGAACTTGAGAAGTGATATCTATAGAGATATCTCAGAAATGCCTGAGAAGTGAATAGAAAAAGCAAGTTTTTCCCATGAAATTTGTATCTGTTATATGTTGTTAAACAGATACCAATGATACTTTTATACTTAACTTAAATCCTTTTTCTTGCAGGAATCTTTGTGTCTTCAGTAAGATCCGATGTAGTTAATGAGCAGAGTGCCGAATTTAAGAATGCCAAAAAGCTGTTTTCAGACATCTATGAGTGAGTTTTAAAATCATATAACCAAACTAAATAATAAATAATATCTTCTTACGTTTCAGCTTGCTTTTGAAAAGCAACAGCTCCTTTGGTGTCTACACCACCGACGTTGCACAGACTGATTTCGTATTCCTCTCGTATTCGCTGGCCGACAAGAAAGTGCTGTGCAAAAACTACAGCTATGGAAAGTGAGTATCAAAATAGTTAACCCTTTAATCACAGCTACAGGTCTCACTGTGAATTCTTTCTTTCACCAAACGAATCGCTTACAATTTATAAAATAGACATTGCAAAAATACGTATTTTACGGCAAACATAAAATGCATCATATGGTAACTAACATGTTAAGAACTTTGTACTTTCATAACTATTATCTGTTTTGATGTTAAATAATCACTTCCTTTGCTTTCCTTGTCCTTACGTTTCTAATTTCTCGGAATGCATTTTATGTGTTAGTTAACCTTTAGGATTGTTAATGTTTATATGGTAGTTTGATTTTAATTACTCTTTTTATTTAACATAAACTAAATCATTGCACTTTCTTTTGACAGCGGCGGCACTTTCACCAACATGGAATACAAGTTTGTGGAGAAGCCCTTTGAGTGGATTCAGCTGGAGTGCAGTTACGATCTGGACGATGTGCTACCCATACTGGATTCATCGCGACGTGTCAACATCGAAGATCAGTTCCAGAATATTATAGTGTCGGTGCGCAAAAACCTGCTAGCCAGTGAGGTTTTCCTGCAGAATGAGGTCGTCGAGGATACCATCGATCTTCAGGCGTATATTAAAAAGAAAAAGACGAAAGTTGACCAGCATAAGCCCACATCTGCTAGCGGTGGTACAGCCACAGTTGCCAGCAATACCACAAACTCCCTGCCCCAGCTAGCTTCGGAAGCAATCATCGGTGGTGGCGAACCAATCCGGGCAAGCATTGTGCTCCCAGTGAAATGTCAGTTGAGCAAGCCGACGGACATTAAAGTGCGCGAGTTTAGTGGAACCCTGCATATGAGCGGCATTATAGCCACAAAGGTTTTCTGCAATCCACGGAACAGTATAGCAGATGTGAAGCGTTTCGTGCGCGATGATGTCCTGCGATCCCTGATCACACGTATTCAAGTATATTGCGATGGACTTACCGATCCCTATGTGACCAATGAAGCTCTGTATATTAGTGAGCCACCTAGGCGGGTATTCTTCAGCCTTCCCTCGGAGGGTCCCAGTACTTCAGTCGGAGCGGTGGTTCAGTTTTCCGAATACCTATTTCGTGGCGAGGCTCCCACTGTTGTGGTGGCCCAGGCCAAACAAATCTTGGACGTGGAACTGGACCCCGAGACTATTTCCGTGGAAGCCGAAGGACTCCCAGATGACTCAAACTTCACCAATGCAAATACAGGTGCCGATCGCACAGATGACTCTAGGATTATGCCCAGTTCGATGCCAAAGCCAGAACTTTCGCGCAGCCTTTACATGGTGGGAATTGCGGTGGCTTTGCTGGTACTCCTTGCATCCGTTGCTCTTCACTATATCCTGGCCGAACGGTAGGCAGCTGGAATGCCCAAGACCTCTTTATACGACATGTTTTTTATACAGATACATTATTTGCAAGAGTGCCGAGGCACTCACCTCTCTATTGTGATCGTTTGTTTTTTATAATTCATTGTGTACTCGTAGTAGTAAAAAGGATGTGTTTAGGGATCACGTTAAATAGTTTTATTGTGGAAGCAAAACTGTGCAGCATTTAACACCAATATAATAAACTAATAAGTAATATATATATATATATATATATATATCTGTGATTCTTTGGTACGCCTTTAAGGGAAGAAGTCCTTTGCTTTAGACTTTTATTCGAATTTTATATATTTTGGGACTAATTTGTTTTACTGATCTGAGTATTTATCGATTTTTAGATATAGTTGTTCAGAAAAGAAGCTTATTATAATGTTTCTTCGTTTTACTTACAGTTCATATGGCTAATCATTTATTATTGTCATTAGTTTTATATAAGAAGTTATATAATTTTTTAGGATTTTCACAGATTACTTTTCAATCTGACATCTCGTATTTCTTTTTCAACTTAAGCAAACTTTCATTATACTTAGCTTATTAATATCTTTTTAACAATAAACATAGGGAGTTCAGTTATGTACATTAGGAGAGTTAAAATTATAAATTGCAAGAGTTAGTAGGTGCCTAATTAGGGGGTTAAATTACATAAATATTTGGTTGTCTACATTTACAATCGACTTTGTTCCTTTTTTACTTGCAGTTAACTAGTTTTTAGGATCGTAAAATGAGCACATTATGAATTGTGAAATGGTGATCGAGCGAAGATTTCCCTCACGGATCGGACACTTAAAGTGTAAATTAGTTTTTTCACAGCCTCTGCAACTTGACGGACCCAAGTCCGTGTCTACTAAGTACCCAGCGAGATGCTACTACATCTTGCAGTTGCCATTGCAGTTAATTACCGACCACACCCAGTCCACGTAGTTGGGCACCTTGGCGTAGATCCCAAATTTATTTCGCTGGGCGCATCCATCGCCGAATGAAGTAATGCCAAAGATTGTCCATGGATGATTGGGTTTTGTGGTATCTCGACATAAGAGCGGACCTCCAGAGTCTCCGGCACAAGTGTCTATATGACCCTTCTGATGTCCAGCACAAAACATGTTCTGCAGGATATAGCTCAGTTTTAGATTGATCAAATAGTAGATATATCTTCAGATTAGTACCTTTGTTATAGTGTAGTCATAGTAAACCTTTCGGCAATTCTGCATTGGTATGATGGGAACAGTGGCCTTGTGTAGGACACTAGTGCCAGTGGCGTCCCGATTACGTCGCTTGCCCCATCCAATTATCGTGCAGTCCACGTTCTTGGGTAACGCCTGGAAAGGCTGTGGCAGACAGGAGTAGCCAATCCAAGTGGTGGCATTAACAGCTTTGGGTAACCTTTAGGGGAAATAGAATATTAGTTAGATCCTCATAGTTTGTATCTTATCATTTGACCCACCTTAGCAGTGCCACATCGCTGTCCACTGTTCGCTTATCAAAGTTTGGATGTGTAAAACTTTTCATTACCCTTAGCTGCACCTCCGTACCATCCTCATAGTTCAGATTGTGTTCACCTGATAGAGGAAGAAAATATATATATTTCCAATTTTCAAACTCATCTTAGATTATACTCACCAATACGAACATAGAGCACCTTCCTCACGCAATGGGCAGCCGTCAAAACCCATCGAGGAGCAATGAGAGTTCCACCACAGAAGGCTTCCTTGAAGCGATTTAGAATGGCCACCTGCCATGGCCACTCGCCCTTCCTCGCCGCCCGACCACCGATGATCTTTAGCATGTTGGACATGCTCTTCCTTCCAGTTCCGCTGCGAACAATACCGCAGTTCAGTTTCAGAGGAGCGTACTCCTTTCCTCGATAACCCTTTCCCGTCATAATGTAGTTCAGGTCATTCATGGACACCTCTGGCTGTTCCGATTGCATTCTTCGCATGGCATTGGCCGGTGACCCAGATGCTGGCCTCGTTTCGAAGGCGGGCGTCTTCTGGAACTGTGTCTGCAGCCACTGCTGACAGAAACTGCCCTCCGTATAGCAGTAGGCGATCTCCCGGAGAACCTCTCGTCCACACTGATCGGTGATGCGGCATTTTCTGGAATTAAAAAAAACTTATTAATTTTTGTGTACAAAAAGAAAGAAATGAGTTTAATTGTTTTGCGATTGAATTTTCTTTTCATTTCTTTGATCTATAAATCTCTTTGTTCTGGAAAAATTGCGTACATTTTTGTAGAATTACTGAAATTACTGAAATATCATTAAAAACAAATCTCAAAAATAATCTTTAAGAAAATCAGGCGTTAATTAGAAAGATCGATCTTCTATACCTAAAAGTTAACTTAACTACAAACTGGTTATTAGTATATAGATTATTCTTTCAACTTACTTATATCTCCTTGTTGTACACTTTGGTGAACATTTTGTCCATCGACTCCACTTTGAGTATACCCTCCTTCTTCTAAGACCTAAGCCATCCTTATTTGGCTGAACCAAACTAATATTCCGGAATTCGTTATCCAATTCCTCGGAATCCGCGTAGTTTTGATCAGACATATCGAAGTCCTCATATTGGAAAACATCTCCCTCCACACTACTATCATCGCCCATATTTTTAGGTCTCAATGACTTTCTTTCACTAAAATCCACAAAGTCATCGTCTTCATAGTCAACCTTTGGTGGTTTCTTGTGGGTTGGCTTTCTACGGTTCTGCCTTCTCCTGTGACGATGTCGTTTTAGTACAAAGAAGTCACCCTGTTCATCGGAGCTAATGAAATCTTCTTCGGGTTCTAGTTCGTGTTCGGGTTCGGGTTCGTTATGGAGTTCATCCTCCTCATCATCTTCTATATATATATCTTGACCAGGATATCTTGGTAGGTGGCGAACCGAATCTACGGCTTTTGAGGGAGGAGTTGGCGGAGAAGTTGGTAGAGGAGTTGGTGGGTGATTTGGGAGATAAGTTGGGGGATGAGTTGGGGGATGAGTTGAGGGGTAAGTTGGTGCATAAATAGAAGGATGAGTTGGGGGATAAGATGGGGCATAAATTGGAGGATGAGTTGGTGGATAAGTTGCTGCCGAAACTGGTGGAGGTTTGTATTCGTTATATCGGTAATCCACAGTGGGACCACTTGACGCAGCAGCCGCGGCATTTATGATAATCGACGGCGGTGGCGGAGGTGGTGGTTGCGGCTGCGGCTGTGGCAGCGGTTGTGGCTGTGGCTGTGGCTGTGATTGAGGCAGCGGGTGGTTTCTCTCCCGATAGTGGCTATCATCCAGAATTATAGGCTGCTGCCACTTTATTGGAGGAGCAGGATGACAGCTGTAAAAATTTCAATTTTAAAAATCAATTTCCTTGAAGCAACCTAAATAGATCTTAATTGAGTGTAATTTCAGGTAAATGCTAGCCAATGTAATGGGAGATGCTGCCCAAATTAGAACTCTTTAGGAATAAACAAACTAAAAAAAATAGATGGCCTAAAAAATATTCCTAATATTTGTGTGAACTAATGCTAAAAATAGTCTAACTCGGAAATGCACATGTACTTTTGTGCTATAGTTTGTGCTAAATAGAGTTAAAAATAAGTCAATATACTTAAAAAAAACTTTCAATTTGCGTTAGAAAAACTCAAAAATATTTACAAAAAATGAAGTAAGCTTTAATTTCATGTTTCAATTTTAACTTTTTCTTCTAGAAAAGTTTTGTTTAAGTTTTTTTAAGATTTAAAAACTCACTGCCTGCACTTGCTCTGCTCCACGTGCTTGGTGTGCCCGCATTTCCGCTTCACCTTGCAGAATCGCTCCCGCCGCTTGACGCACTCCTCGTCGCAGGGTGACCACGGTGACCAACGGCTGAAGGGCTGATGGTGATTAAGCGATCGCCGTCGCCCACTCCATCGTTGCTGGTGGGGCATTCGCAGGCGATGCACCCGCCTTCCATCCACCCAATGTGATCCGTGATACTGATGGTGATGATGCCGATGGTGACCCATCACGTCCCATATCTCTCTCTTCGCCTCCTGCACATATCCACTCTGAAAGATGAAAATGGAAAAAACGTAAGTATAAGATCGGGTTTTGGATTTCCCTTTTGGTTCGGGGTCGAGCATGAAATGCGATCTGCGCCCTACGACATCTCAACCTCAAGGAGCCCACATTCGCTGGCCAGCAGCAGCAGCAGCAGCTTCCCTGTTTTCCTGCCTCAGTCAACCACTATAAATCAGACATGTCGCCGCTTTTTATTTGAAGTGTCATTGCTCTCGACAGTTCGGCGGTGTCTGCGTTCGGATTGTGATCCCTGAGGAAAGTACCATATACACTTCGGTCCCAGCTCCAGTTCCAAATGTGCGACGCCAGGCGACGCGCCGTCAAACTATAAATAACACACGCTTTTCGCCGACCGATTCGACGGATCCCTATCCCTGCATCCCGTGCCAGTCTAAAATAGGCTTCGACGTCTGTCGAGGATCGTCCATGATTGCCATAACCTCTTCACCAACGCCCAGCAGCTGCAAGACTCTAAGAAAAAAACTGGACATATTCTCAGAACTCAGAGTAGTCAGTCGAGTAAATGGTTTAAGTTTTACAAAAGATAAGGGTAATGTTTTTTACTAGAACGCGATCATGAACCATTTCGAGAGGCTTACTTTAGTTAGCGATTAGAAGTATTCATAACATTGTAACATTGTAAGATATTTTACTAAGAGTTAAGTTCTTTCCACTATAAAATCTGAATAAAAGATTCTAAATTTAAATATGACATGTGTAAAGTCCATTTTAGAACCCCATTTAAGACTGGTGTTAGTTTAAAAGCCTATATGACCTTAGAGAGAGATTCGAAGCTAAAGACAGCTTCGAAAAGTTTTATTAGTTCAATGACTGGCTCTAAAATTCTTGATGGGCCTAAAACCATAACCGGTACTCAGTTTTGCCGAGCCAACAACAAAATAGATCATTTATGCTGCTAGCTACTTAAATTCTTTCACCTAATCTTCAGTTTCTTTTTTGCCAAAACAGGAAGCTATTATCATTCAGGTTTTCTGGGCAATCAAGAGATGTGTTTTGGAAACTATCAAGTGAATAAATTACATCACTGGAATTATTTTAATGACCATGTTTACAGCTTAAATTAGTCGAATTAAGTAAACTAAACACACAATCGATGATTGGGAGAACACAGGCTTTGCATAATGAGGTGCCAATAAATCAGGCACGTTTAAATGCCTCACTTGAAATCGAACGTAGGTCATGGAAAAAAGCTTAAACGGAAAATCGGAAAATTTGTAAATGGAAATCCCAAACATTCCCATCAAATCATGCGGAAATACGAAACGCTCTCTGCACACCTCAAGCTCAAGGAGAACTATGTTCCGGACTCGATTTCATAGCCTACCTATGGAGATTCCCCCTACAACCACCCCACCCACCAAACCAACAATAGAAAAACGAGAGTGCGACTAATTTGGTAGCGGTAATTGACCTTGCAATCGTAAATAGTTCGCAGTTCGCAGTTCCCAATCGAATTGCTTCGGGTTGACGTAATGCGGTTTTCGACAAGTGGGTGGGCGTTCATTAGATCGATCGATCTATATATATATATATATATATGTTGATCCATACACTCACCTGAGCTTGGACCAGCAGCTGAACCACCGTCAGGAATTCGAATATCAGGCACAGCACTTTCATGCTTAACTGCTTATGGTCTTGTTGTCGCTCGAAAAACGATCCGTAATACCACCGTAACGAATCCGTGAAGCCAAAGACCCTGACAAATGCACTGTAAATAGAAATAAAATGTCGGGTAAGTGGAATTCGATTGGATTGACATATAGATTTGGGTGTTCCAGAAGTCTATATAGGATTTAAAGTCATTTTGAACTTAACCTTGAACTCTTTGTTTGAAGTTTTATAGAAAAAGAGTCTTTAACAACCTCTCAGTAGAGGGAGAGAGATTTCTAAGTGGCATTTTATTAATGATTTTATTTTGTTTTTTTCAGACTCTTATCTTGACTTTCCTCAATAAATAGTTTTCTTTATGCTAATAAAGTTTAATTCATAAATTCATTTAAAATCTCAAGTCTAAGATTGATAAGGTTTATAGTATAGTAAAAATTGCAACCTCTTTGATTAAGCACCTCCAATCTTATCGATTTGATAGATTGATCATTTTTTCTGAGGGTGCCAGTTCAAAGACTTTAAGATTAGGATTTCTTATCTGATATAGGATTCCCATTCAGTTAGCATAGTGTTTAAAAATAGAGATTAATCTAATGTATCGCTTAAAATTAGTTAACAAACTCTAATATTTTAGAGTGATAACCTACAGGCTTGCCCAACATAGCCAACCATTAAGATTCCTCTTCACTCTAAGATAGCCCAATTAAATTATATAACCCACCCACCAGCATGCGTACTTGAACCTGTACTTTAAGCACTGTATTATGTATTATTTTTGTGTTTTTTTGTTGTTGTTTTATTATGCTTTTGAGTGGTTAATTTAGCCTGACTAAGCGACTCATTTGCGTCAAAGTAAAATCAGCCAAAAACATAAAGAGTGCCCCCCACGCTCTGCACAATTAAACGATGCCAATGCCGATCTGGTGAATATATATAGTGAATCTCTGACGGATCTGGTGAATCCACTATATCTGTTCGTTCTCCCGACTCCCTATCTTTGCGGCCGCCAACTACTTGGCCAACTACAAAGCAAATATTTGAACTTGTCTGAGACCTTAGCCCAAAGCGATCAAAAGTAAAATTAAAAAAAAATCTGAAAAAAAGTGAAATTAATTAGCTACATACCCCGAACATGTAATTACAAACAGAAGACTGCGGGGGTGAATGAAAATTGGAAACATAAAGTGCTTTTGATGCTATGCTTCTGCATAAGTGGGTTTGTATGAAAGGTCTGTTCTTATTTTAACTTTTCTCGAACTGCACTGCGGAATTTTAAGTAGAACCAGAAGAGAGAGATCGGGGCAATGGAATACAAGTACAAAGTACTTACGTCAACACTGGATGTTGGCCACATCCAGACCCCAAACATCCCATTCCAACTACTTACGATCATATAAGGTCAGATGCGCTGGAGCAAGTTGCCCAACTGAATGCATCTCACGATCCTCTCTCCCACATTGGCCATTCTGGTTATTCCAAATGACCAAATTCGATATCCTGACAAGCTTATTGGCCATTTATATTCCGCGCTAAATTCCAATAAAGCCAACCAACCAATTCCCTGGTGTACCAATCACTCGTTGTGATTTATTTACAATGTGAAAAAAAAAAAACAGCGCCCCCACTAAACAAACTTGCGGATATATATTCAATTTTATAAGCATCTCAAAATTGAGTAACAACGCGTAGCGTGAAGAATCTTTTCGCCTGTTTGATGGAAATGAAATGCCACAACAAACAAACCACAAGAAAACTATTTTAACACACCTGACGACACATGATTTATAAGCGCACGCTGAGACCGGACATTTCCTCACTGAAATGTATGGGAAGTCGCCTGGCCAATGGTAAACAAAAATGATTTATACAAGATTTGCCAGAAAAGTGTGTTTGGAAGGGAGTGGAAAATGATAACTAGTTATGGGGTTGAATTGCAGATTATTTTTAAGCATTTTTAAGGAACTCATTAACTATTGTAGTAAGTTAGAATTTAGAGTAAGTAGAAGTGAAATTTATGTAATTAGTTGTCTAAATATATCATCATAATGATTCCTAAGATAGTACCTAAAGAACAACTTATGGGAAAAATAGGTTTAATAAGGTCTAACTCAAAAATTTTCTAACAAACAATATAAAGTTAATATAAAACTTGAATTTTTGCAAGAATATTCAAAATTAATCACACTTTTTAATCAATATTCAAAAAGAAGCTTCTTTTATTTACCAAACTGAACTCAATACTTCCTTCTTTTTGTTTGCTTACTCAATTTCAAATGGCTTTTGTCTGATGGCCAACATTTCCTCTGAGAGGGTCACTCAAGAGGTTTCATATTTCCTCAATTTTTGCACGTTTAAGTCATTCCAAAAGCGTAAAACAAAACCCAAACAATCATTAATTTTTAACACTCTATTTTTCTTAATTTTTGCTGATTTAGCTAAGATGAAAAGTTTTCTTTAAACTATCAAAATGTCCACCCCAGCGTTCAAACATAATATTTATGTAGATTTGTGTGTACTGCGAACGGCGACGCGTCTTCTTAATTTAGAATGCGATGCGTCCGCATAGCAAACAGAGCAGCAACAACCTCAACCTACGTCTCAGTCTCTGTCTCTGTCTCCGGCATACGTACCGCTTTGCTCTCCGCCGTTCTATTCCATATAAACAAACCGCAATAGCTGCCTGCCACCCGCCCTCGTACCGCTTTACCTTGACAAAGTGCGATTAAAAAAATCAACTATGACGGGGTCGAGTACGCATCTCATAAATATCAAAATATTTCCCAGATGGCCGGAGTATCCAGTGACCGGTTTCCTCAGGTGTCTGTCTAAGGGGGGTGCACTTATTAGCTTTACTCATATGTGTGTTTACCAGTTCCGCAAATAAGGTGAATCGCCCACCCACCGCCCACTGCCCACGCCTGATCGGCATGTGGTCGAACCATTTTTTCGCATTTTTTATTTGCTCTTAAATTGCTGCTGCTGTGATTTTCTATGAATGAAAATGTACAAATTTGGTTTTTGGCCCAGCTTTTCGCGACTAGAGTTCCCTGCACTGTAAATAAAATGAATCAATTTGATGTGTTTTTTAAATTTAATTAACGTTTTATGAGATTTAAATATGATATCATTGAGTTAACAACATGATTAAGGCAAGCTTTTCCTTTATCTTTGTTTTGGTGCTCACTTAAAGGTTACTTTATCTAAAAAAGATAAATTTTAAAAATGTTTATAACATTATTCATAATATTTAATTAAGTGGGAGGTCATTTTAAATAAGATAAATGATTTCCTTTTCAGTCAAATTAAGTTGTTTTTTTTCTCACTGCATTTGGGTGATTTATTTTACATTTTTTTTTTTCTGCTTTATTTCTGTTGGCCTGGCTGGCTAGCCACAATGTCTGGTATGGCCAATCAACGTTGTCGTTGTGTGTGTTGCATGTCCGCGGGCCCGTTTAACCAAATGCAATTTTAATGACGTGACCAGCTACTAAAAAAAAAACAAAAAAAACAAAAAAACTAAACTAAATCTCTGCCTCTGTCGTTGGCTTTTGTTTTTCCTATTTATCTGCCGACTAAGTGGGCAGTTCGTGGGCAGTATTTGGGCATTTGGGCATTGTCTATGCGGCTTAGGTCTTGGCTTAATTTATTAGTCAGCCTTTTGTAATCGGCTACGCATTAAATGTCGCTTGTACGACATCACCAGCCACATGAGTATTAGCGGAAGTGTTGGAAATAAATCATGCTTCGCATCCACGCACACTGCTGTACTCTACACAAATGCACAATTTCATCGACTTCGATGGCATCGCAAAGAAGCCGACGATCTGGCCAACGCCAATCCCCTTGCATCCCCTAGACATTCAGCATCCGATCATCCGGGCAACCACATCCATGCACATCCATGGATCCACTTCCACACCGCACCACCAGAACACCCAATTTTCCACAGATGAATTAAATGCATTTTAAACACAAATGCAGCAACAGACGGGGTCAAAATGATAGCAGCAGGGAGGAAAAAGATTGGAGATTGATAAAAAAACAAACACAAAGTCTGTCAAGTTGGGATCTTTTTGTCAAAAACCATCACAAAAGTTAAAGTTTTCTTTTGTTAAATTATAAAAAAAGTATTATTATAAAGACGTAATTGGTGGCTTTCCAAAATATACAAACTATATAAAAAAACCGTTTTATTTTTTCAATTTAAAATTCACATAAATCACAATATTTTAAAACATCTCAATCAAAGTATGTTTCCAATCTTAAAATATTTCGTATTTCCACAAAGTTCTATAAAAATTCCCATTCAGAAATCTCATAAAAAATATTTATTTCCAAGACCATAAAATATTTCAACCACAAAGTCGCAAACTAATAAATTTTCAACATTCTTATACACTTTTTCAGAACACTATTTTGTTTTCATAGAATATTTAAGATATATCTCAAGTGATTCATGGGAAAGTTGTTGACTCAAAATGTAGATATTAATACACCGAATTGCTATTATTTTGACTGCACTTGTAGAAGTAGCAGGCGTGCAGTTTCAAATACGAATGAGGATTGTTTTCATGAATGAAACATTTTTTTATTCCATTTATCACTTGGCACCATGTCTCCTTCAGCTGCACTTCGATTAGCTTAGACTTGGGAGCATTCCATGGATAACCAAAACGACACACTTAATATTCCAACACGCATGATAACTTTGGCCATAAGTTGGCTTTTATGACTTTAATATTGAACTGTCAAACCGTTTAGTGTAAATTTACATAGCGTTTACCTGGTTCGCACTACTGTCTCGTTCGGGGTTTTTTCGAAAATGTTTCAAAAGCCGTTTCGCGCACACATATTGGAGCAATTTTATTTTTACATTGGAGAACTGTGGTTTCGGCAGGGGCAGAGCAGCATAAACCACGTCGCGGATGTCGCCGCCTCGCAAACTCCACTGCACGATGGGCAACGTAAACAACCAACCGAACCGATCCTATCTCCGTTTAGTTCCGTTCCGTTCCAAACCGATCCGATCCGATCCAACCGACGTCTTCTCGAGAACTGAGACTGAGACTGAGCGAAACGCCAACGCTCCGCGGCGAGCTGAAAAAAAAAAACGTCGCGTTTGCCGTTGACTTTTCCACACACATGTTGGCCGTGCACAGTGGACTGGAACCACGTGAAAAACGTACGGATGGGTGCGAAAATCCCAGCCAAAACGCACAAATGTTTGAAATATTTCTGCGAATTGCAAAGAAAGCGAGGGTGCTAATCCACTGAAAGAAATTTGGGGTCTAAGAAAGTTAAGATTTTTAAGTTAATGATCTTTAGAAACTCTCCCTGAACATATGTATTAGGTTCTTAAAGAATATTTTAAAATATAAATCTTAACAATTAAAATGTGAAAAATATTTACTTTTAAGGGCTTCTATAACCCTTTTAACCATAATAATATCTCGAAAATTTAATATTTTCTAATATTTTATTTCCAAAAGTTTTCCTCTGTATAGCTTCTCTCATTTCAGAGCGGGCAGTTAACCAAGTGTTACAAGCCATGGACTTTGCAATGAACCAAACTTTCCCAAAGAAGCATTTAACAATTCGCAATGAAATTTAATATTTTCAGCATTCGAAAAGCAATTACTACGCAGATGCACAAAGGAATTTGGATATGAATTAACTATAACTATTTACATTGCTTTTGGAGTATAGCTTTGAGTTTGAATTAATGGTAACAGTGCCAGGCGGCCACCCGCTGACCAGGCGGGGATTCCCTTATCAAACGCATCTGCTCAGAGCCCGTATCACCCGCTTGATCACCGCCGATGATAACCGTACCTAAAACCAGTTTCTTGCCCATCTTCTTGGTGGCCAATGTTATCCGAAGAACTATATCCTCTAACTGTTCAAGTCTCTGGAGTGGAATGTCTATCGCTCCCTCGCCAGATCCATCATCCCATTTGGTGGAAAGTGAGGGAAAGAATATTGGAGACTTCCAGGCATCTATATAGATGCCATGCTCAAAGGCTGTCGTTTTCACATATACTCCGGAACTGGCCGTGGCTTCCAGTTCATCCTTGACCTTGTTGGAGCATCGCATCCGCGTTGTGGTCACCCGAAGCAGGTACCTTCCGGAATCGGAATTTCCAGCATTACTTATTCCCATCTTCCGCTTGACTTCTGCGGTCATCCTTTGCCAATTGTTTGCCGAGGGGGCGGAAGGCGGATTTGGCGAAGTGGGCGTATTTGAAGGCGTCGGAGGGGGTATTGATGTATCCACAGGTGACTCGCATTCCAGGAGATCTCGAACCTCGAGGGCCAGCTCAACTACGCCCTTGGTGGAGTTGACAAACTGAAAGGAAAGGTAAGAATAAGAAAGAAAAACGATTTAAAAAAAGCAAACTTCCAGGATTTTGGAAAATCTTAAAATGTGTTTATAACTTTTCTATAATAAACTGCACTACATCTTTATCTTATAATTACAGCTTTTATGACAACAAATTCGATATCAATAATTAGATTTCGTAAACCAAAAATTGTTTACTTTCAGCTGACGGTTAGGTCTCGATATACTTCCCATTTTGGCTTAAAAGCCTACGCTTTCATAAGGTAAGTCAACAAATTGGAATCGCATTGCCGTGATAAGATAAATGTTAAATTGACCCATACTGGAAAATTAGTTCAAACATATGATTTCCACAGATATCGCAACCCTTTAGGTAAGTAGAGACTGGACAGAGGGTTGCCTTTCAATTCATTTTTTCCGGAATAATATTGACTCATCTTGCACATTAATTTTTCTTTTTTTTTTCGCTTGGCGTGCAATTAAAAAATTTGCTTTCATTTAAAAATTGTTGTTTAGTAGTTGACGTTTGTTGTGTTTTTCCCGCCCAAGCGGTAAGCTTTCACTTTGTACAATTAAAGCGAACACATCTCCATTACACTTTTGGAAAAAAAAAAATAACACTCAGCAGAGCAGCTACATGTCGCATTTGTTTTGTAACACCAAAGTTCGGGTGAACTTGTTTGGCAATACTCTGGGTCAGGTACATATGTTTTTCCTACTCACATTGTTGTTGCTGGGCGACGACTTGGCCACCGTTGTGGTGATATCTTTTATAGGCAGCCACAGCTCTTCCGTCGCGTAGCTCCCCGTTCGGCTGTTGCGCTGAAAGAGCTTGGATTCCAGGTAGCAGGTGACGGAACCTAGGGGGGAAATTAGAAAAGATACTATATAAGAGATTGGAAAACTTCTAACATGACAAATGATTTTATTAGATTACAAATTTCAAGAAAATTGTAGATATATAGAATGTTTGAAAGTAATGAAAATCAGGTCTAGGAGATGAATGAAAGAAAGGCTATTAATGAGGAATTTTATGAAATATTTAAAACATTTATGTCGCCTAAAAGTATGCAGTTAAAAATTAACTTTAAAGGGTTAGATTTAAAATCGTACAATATATCAATATTAAAGTATTACCAATATTCCTTCTTGATTCACTTATAGTCAGCGGTGGCATCGCATCCCTTGCCGAACTCTCAGACTTCTTCTTTCCCTTGCCCTGATCACTTGGCTTGCCACCAGCCTCAGTCTTAGCCTCACTTGGCATACTCGCTGTTGGATCCACAAAGCGTTGGACAAAACTAGTGCTCCTGTCCTTTAGCGAACGGTATGTCTTATTAAAGCGATTGAAATTCTGTTAAGAAACGAATTTAATCCACGTTAAAGAGATAAATATGACCAACTTACTGTTGCCGGTAGTTCTAGTAAGGCGTAGACCGTAAAAACCACAAACTGTCCGGAAAAGAGCTGTTCTGGCTCAGGTTCTGAGCTATTTGCCTGACCATTGGTAGGACGTCGTGTTACATGCTTCATGGAGGATCTATTCATTTTCAATTATAATAATGATACTCTTGTTAACTACATCTTTATCATTCTTACTTGATATCTGGCACCAGTGGAAATTTGAAGTTTTCATTGAACTTTGGCCACGTGTTTGTCTGAATACTGCTGTCCATGCGTTTTGAACCAGGAAATAGCTTTACCTGTAAAGGGGGAAAGAAAATAGATCAGAAATAGATAGAAATAATAAATAAACTAAGGTATGTTTTCAGGGCCATTGAGTACATGAATGAACAAGGCGCCACAAATTAGTGGCTTAATAAATAAACTGCAAATTATTGTGTAAATATTTGTCTAAATACATTTTTTCTTGACCGATTATTTTTATTAGACTTCATGTGTTTTTTTTAGTTTTCATTAACAGATTCTGCAGAAGATTTGCCCTTTTCCTATTGAATTTTAAATAAACAAATGTAGCTCAATACTTCAAAAGGAAATGTGTAAAAATAGGTCTATTAATGCAATGCAAATAATTTATAAATTGGAATTCCACAAAAAGTTGTTTAAGGTGCTTTATTCTGATCTGATAATGGAAAACTTATAGTTCGTCATTAAATATTTCCCTACTGTAAGAAGCAAATTCCCTTTAAACCTATCTATTATAGCCAATAATAGTCCCAACAACAAAATATTTCCTAATGACAGTTATTTTTTTAAGACTGTAACTCATCATGTAACAAGCGATAAACAAACAACTATTTTCCTTTCAGTCAAATTGAGTCTTATTATCATAAGTTATTTTCGCAGGTATGCCTCATATCATGACTAATTAGCACTAATTTACCTTTATCAAATAGCCCTGAACGATCTTGAAGCCGAAAAGGGAGGGCAGATGTCGAGCGGCGATGAGGTGAACATTGAGTTCTGGCACTGCCTTGATCTGATCACCATCTTTTGGACTATCGATTGTGATCTGGAAACCGATCTCCGGTTCCAGCGTGACGGAATGTCGGGATGCTCCATTGGACGAATGTTGACCGGGCAACAAGGCCCGTAGTTTGTTCATGTTGATGTCGTGTGCGGTGTCCGGTTTCTACTCCAATCCGGAATGCAATGGACTCCGGTTTTCCATTCGATTGCGCAAAGCGAAGAAGCGATAAATTGTGTAAATGACTTAACACCCGCCGCCGACTTTTTCTTATCTGTGAATCGTACTTCAAAACTGATAAAACTTGCCCCACTCCCGCTCTTTATCACTCTCTTGCTCTCTCTATCTCTCTGCAAGGTGCAGTGCTCTCTGGGCTGGGGAAAAATAAACCCCAAAGCTTTACCAAACAGCTGTTCACTGGGAGAACTTTGAAAACCGAAAAGCTCACTCTTTATCGCTCCCAATAAGTAATCGTGACCGTTGGAATTAGATACGCGAGAGCGGTAATCTCATAAATATATGTAAAAGTCTGTAAGTATAGTTTACTAACAAAAGATCACTCGCTTAAAACAAAGATGCAGTTCACAAATCCATCTGACAGATGCAGAAGATACAGAAAGATGAACTAGATTATCCGAACTGATGAATTTCACAGAAATACTTGAGTTGCGAAATGTTGAGATGTCAACAAGTGTTTGAGGTCAGAAAACACAAAGCGGAGCACTTAGCACGACAATTAACGACTTAAATCGTGAATAAGAACGAGAATCCGACGGCGATCTGATCTGGACGCTCGCTCGCGTTCTTCAGCTGTTCCAGCGCTCAACTGAAAAGTTAACTTGGAAATTACTTCGTATGCGGCCATAATAATAAGCGTACAATCATAATGCCGACACACATTCGCGCGCTCACACCAACAACAGTGGCTAAGAAAATAGGACCATAAATATAAATTAAATAAAAGTTATTTTAATTTTTCTTTACATTGACAAATGGATAATACAGTTTTTAAAGATAATAGTTAAAAAATTGTTTATACAAACGTTGTTATTTACTTATTGCGTACCAAAATGTATGAACATATGTGTACCGAACTTTTTTATGAAACTCACTACTAAGAACTCTGATTAGCTCACTGATAAAAATACAATATTTTTAAGCATTCCACCATATTTTATATTTATAAAATTTTTCTATTTTTCAAACAAACAATTGCTTTTAACAAATCAGATTTGAAATTAAAACTCTATAAAAAGAAATCCCTTTGTGAAAGAGTTAGTACTATTTCATTGACCCCAACTGTAAGTTCGAGTGTCGAGACAGAACAAACGCTCACACTTAAGGCTGAAGAACTTTTGTTCTCTTATTGCGGTTGTTGTAGAATGCACTGAGATTCTCTCATCACCGTTTGTGTCACAGTTATAGCGCTTAAAGAAGACAGTAGAAATATATACGTTACATGCCTCTTGGGAATACAAAGATCGGTGGCACGACTCTTTCGCTGCTTCTTTTCGAAAGCTCATCGCGGAAGCAGCAACTTAGCGGTTTCAATGTAATTGGGACTTCTTCGTTCAACCACCCAAAGCCGCCCACTTACGGAACTCTTGAGTCATATGTCAATTGACTTGGTACACTAAAAATTAGCTTGAACATCTAATTTCTGGAAAATAATTTCATACTTAAATTTAATAAATTTTGTAAAAGTTAATATTTCTAAGTATTATAAAAATCGCTCTTAATTTTTAATATTACATCCGTTTGGTTAGTTATTGCAAGCTTTTACTGTAAAGATGAGTGAGGTGATAAGAAAGTGGTTTCCTGTGGCTGCTAACGATGTGTCACAGGGCTTACGATCCGAAGTACTAATGTGTGTTAAAAATAAACAGGGCCTAAAGAGATTGATGACTTAATGTTGAAAAATCTTCCATTATTAAAACTCATCAACAACAAATTTGTTTCAGAAATTGTTTGAACTTTAAAAATTGTGGTCCGTTAGTTAAGACAACGTTTATAATTTACTTTATAACATCCATATTGGTGCTGCATACTTTTACGCGCAATCAAAGGAAAAACAACGGTAGTTGTCTTAAAAAGCGTCCACACTTAAAAACAAGAGGAAACGCTATAGTCGAGTGCCGCGACCATAAGATACCCGTTACTGTTTTACAAAATTTTAAAATATTATTTTGCTAGTGGAAATTCACAAGGCGCCAACTATTTTCAGAGGAAGTATGTTGAGTATGCTTATAGTGACGTCACTGCCCATGTGAGGCCTTATAACCTTAATTTCTTCATAAATAGCGAAATAATGTTCCGATTTGAAAAATCTTTGGTAAATCGATAGATATTAACAAAAATAAGTTATACAAGGTCAAACGAAGGCATTCATAATAATATTATAGACGCCACAGTTTTCCGCGGTTTGTGGGCGTCAGAGTAGGCGTGGCCGGATGCAACTTCGTGGAAAGTTGCAAAGGCATATCCTAAATACGTGATCCTAAACAAAATTATGTAGCTCTTATAGTTTTTGAGATTTTTGCATTTTTGGTTGTTCAGGTTTTGTGGGCGTTAGAGTGGGCGTGGCTTGATCGAAAAAAACAATTCGCATTGGGAGCATAATAAAAACCTACATGCTGAATCCGAACTTTCTTTCTTTTATAGTTACCGAGATATCAGCTTTTCTAGAAAATCCGAAAACCGTCTTTTGAGCCTTGTGGGCGTATGGGTGGGTGTGGCCGGATAGTAGTACCACTATAAGATGCGCTGCCAATTAAAGATTATAATTTTTGAATTTCAACTTTCTAACTGCAATAGTTCCTGAGATTTCAGCAATTTTAGTTTTTTGCGATTTGTGGGCGTTAGAGTGGGCGTGTCAGGATGCTGTAATAAACTTGCGCTGTCCCGGGACCTCAAGAATCTTCATGCTTAATCTCAACTTTGTATCTGCTATAGTTCCTGAGATCTCAGCGTTCATACGGACGGACGGACGGACGGACGGACAGACGGACATGGCTCAATCGACTTCGCTATTGATTCTGATCAAGAATATATATACTTTATAGGGTCGCAAAAGCTTCCTTCTATCTGTTACATACTTTTCAACGAATCTAGTATACCCTTTTACTCTACGAGTAACGGGTATAATAATAATTTATCCAAGCCAAATCGGAATTCAGTAAATAAAAAACTCATTCCACAAAAGTTCAAATTCACAAGAATAAGTATATACATATATTTAAATAGACATTCATTTAACATAACGTAACGCATGGATGGATTAAACAACTGGGAAGCTCAGCCACAGTCCCATCCATTATTGGGATTCTGAGGATCGGAGAAATATGACCCACGACAGTGAGACATAATCCCCGACGAGACCTTAGTTATAAAATTTAGTGTTGATGCTTTTAAATAGGTACGAAGTGTGCATGCCCGCGTGTCTTGTCGACTGTCTCAATGGTATCCTGACCTATCCTAGCTTAGCCTAAGGAGATGGGGATTATCAAAAATTGGGATTTAGTCCACCTCCAGTTTCCTAAAACTGCCCACGACTCCGGCATCGATGTCGCCAATATCATTTCCAGCGAAATTAGCCGCATCCTTGGTGATCTCGATCTGCATATCGTCCAGAGCAAGGATAGCCGCCCGGCGCTGGAGCAGCTTCTGTTTAAACTGGGCGATCATATCAGCAATGGGCACGGTGCCACCATATTCCTTTGGCAGGATAGCGGGATCGATCTTTGTCTTTAAGATGTCAACATTTTTGTGAACCTGTTAGGAAAAGCAAACTGTTTAGTATTCAAATTTGATTTTTAAAATCGAATCAGCTTATGATACGGATCAAGACTAGGCTCTTGTGTACTCGTATATTAACTAGGCATCTTCTTCGATTCAGAGATTTCACAACTCACGATGATTCGCTTCTTGAGTTTGTCACTAAGCATGGACACGCCCAACTCGATGATCCTGTTGGCGTAGTGGGGAATGTTGACGAAGTGCGTCTCCTTGTGCCGCATGGGCGTAGAGTTCTGGATGCACTTGACAATGCTGCGCAGGTCGGTCAAAGACCACAAGCTGACAAAGCCCATGTTCATGCCACTCTCATCATTGATGTACACATATCCAGCCACCTGGGAGTCTTCATCGTCCAGGAGAGCTTCGCAGATCAGACTGTGAACGCGCGCCATTTGCACAGAGGTAAACTTAAATAAGAAAAAAATTAAGATTAATTTTCAAATTTCTGCAGAATTATAAAAGTTTCCTTACCTTGTAAGGATCAAACTTGGCGGCCACGGAGAAGATGACCTGGCGCCCGGTGGAGTCGCGCTGCGGCAGCGGAAACAAGTACCCATTCTCGAAGATCTCGTTGATGGCCGGATCGTTGATGTCCAGCTGCTTGAACCAATGCGGGAACAGCTGTCGGATGGTCAGGTAACGCTCTAGCATTTCACAGGCGGCCGGAACGGAGAACTTTTTGGTGCGCAGGAAACGCAGCAGGAAGACGGTGTCCGTACGGCACTTCTTGATATGCGGATGCTTGTCGATCCACTCACGGAACTGGGCCAAGGCCTGCCGCCTGATGTTGTCATCCTCGTGTAGCTCCTCCTTGGCCACCTGCTTCATGGCCGGACTGAGTCCGCAAACATACGGATAGTCATAATCGCCACCGGTACTAGCTGGTGGTCCGTTCAGCTTGGGTTGTTGCAGCACCTCGGTCTCAAGCACTACAAATCGGAAAAATTAATTAATGTTAATGTTCTATTTCACAATTTGTAGCCCTGAAAACGGATGTTAAGTTACTTCCTAATTAAAGACTATATTACATAATATGAATGGTCAAAATCAAGAGAGCAGAACTCACGAAATCACACACTAAAGCTGTTAAAATAAAGATATGAAAAGCTTGAAATGCTATCTGACCAATTAACACTTTCACTTTCAGTAGGTAAGCCGCAGCTGCCAAAATTTAACTCGATTTCCCTAAAATGTTTACGATCAACCTACTGAATTTCCCTTTTAATTGCACTGAACAAAAGATCATGATGAATGGATTCGCTTTTTAAATAAAATTGTGGATGTATTTTCGACCTAAATTAAAATACTTAAAATACTTGGAGGGAATGTTAAAAAATCTACATTTAAATCCAACTTTATTTATTAAAAAACTATATCATTCGGCAAAAAGTGTAATAATTTTTAAAATGTAAATAAACTATTTACTCCCACAAATCAAAAATCAAAACAATTTAATTTTATTTAAAAATATTTATTTTCATTGAAAAATAAAAGCCAAACAAATTACTCAATTCCCTCTCAGATTTTAATTACCGATTTAAACTTGAACTTAATGAGCCTAGATAAATCTTACTGAAAGTTAAACGAACTCTCAACTATCTTAAGCTCAGATCCCTTGCAGTCATTTAAGCAATTTATAAAACCAGTTAAAATATTTAATCCACCCAAGCGCATTCCAAGTTGATACGGTATCAATTAACCACATTGAACCACATTTTTTTGGCCTGGCTGTAAGCGAAATATTGGGCTAAAATGGCAGTGGCCGCGGTCAGATTACTTCACGGCTGACACCACCGACTCTAATTGGCCAGTTGCCCTTGGTCAGTGGCGGTTGTGCAATCCGAAATGTTAAAATTCATCGAACTCTCAAGGGTCAGCGCAGTTTACTGGACCACCTCTCAACACCCCGAGATACATATATGCCCATACATCTATGCATACCAATTAATCCCACTTGACTTTTGACTGCACAATGTCAGGGGACCGGACCGATGATTGGGGGAACTGGAACTGGATTGTGTTGGCTTCAACCGAGCCAGAGTGCAATGGCTTGCGTGGGCCAAAAAAGTTTTAAATCTCAAACTTCGTAGACCCTGCCCACAGCGATTTGAATACGGTTAGCTAATCTTTGAGAGATGCTGCCATTTCCGCTGTTTTTTTTTTGTGGTCTTACACAGGTCCATCATTGACCGTGACCCAAAATCCGCCGGCTGACTGCTTTGCATATGAATTTGACTGCTTTTGGTTTTGTCATTTTTCCAGCGGCCATTTAAATTTCTAGTCGTAAAAACCCTGGCGAAGGTCGAGAGAAAGATGCGCGAAGCATTGTTGCCGCCCTGTAATTGCGGATCAACGGATGGCAAACAAGGCGTCACCTGGTTGGATGGTCCAACTATTTTTGGTCAACAAACTGTTTATGACCAGTTTGTTCACTTTCATGGCCTTCACACAGTTTTCAACGCAATCGATCGCCAGATCGACGGATCGCTGATGTAAAAAGAAAAAAATTGAACGTGTGGAATTGCCCTGCTTTGAATACGTCCAATTTAAGTAGTAAACATATATATATTCCTATATGGCCCGAAAGTTTGGCTTTGGTAACTCGATCATTTATGGGCCATGCCTTGGCGTGCTGAAGATGTCTGCCGTCCACTGAGACATGCGATTTGTAATTTCGTTATCGTTTCTTTTGCGTTCGTTTTCCGCTCCGCCAATTAGCCCGTTGGTTACATCATATCACAGCATAAAAGCTGCCAAACCGAAGTACGTCCGTCTTACCGACCTCGCGGCAATATCGCCAACTTTTGGTAAGAGTAAAGAGTGCAAGCCCGAGAAATGCTCAAAACAGGTTTTCCCATCCCACTGGCGTACGACCCTATCCACTCTCATTACACGGAGAAAAAAGGTTGAACTAACTACATCCGGTGAGCAAAAAGGCATTGTTCGAACTATAAACATTACTCACTAAGGGAAAATGACAAAAAAAAAAGTGATGACTCTTTTAAATTGCTTATATATTATCCGTAGTATTATTTCAGTTAATGAAGGTTCTATTATAATCTCAGGATAATGATCTTTAATCATATGAAGTATTACGGAACACCATAGCTACTAACTAGTAGCCACCCAAATGACTTGTGCTTTTTTTAACTGTCCCTTAAGATATACAAACCTGCCTCATAAGACTTGCACAAGATAAGTCAAGACCAAGGCTTAAGCTAATGCGATCCCCCGAATTTCTCACCGTGCACTTGCCCAATCCCACCCCATGACCGTGCACATTGGCAATATTGGATGGCTTTGGCTCAATTTCGAATTTCAAATAGGTAAAGGGGATTTACGACTCGGCGATTTGCATCTACCTTTCCGGATTATCATGCAGATTGCATTTTGCCACAATTACGGCAAAAGTTCGCTAATGTTCCCCGGATGAGTAGTGCTTTATATTCATGTGTCAGAATCTAATGGCGCTGTAATCAGCGGAATTCATTAGCCAGGCCTAACACGTTCACTAGCCAAGGTTGTTTTTGGGCCCAGTATAGTACGTTGGTCAAGGTATTTGCCTTAAAACTCCATTAGTTGCATTTGGAAACTGGCCACCAAAATGGGGGATTGGGCTTTACGATATTTTTGAAGACCCAGAATTATAGCCTCGAGGTCGTGGTGACTATTGGTCAAAGGAAATCGTCACGTCGATGGCTGCGTCCCTGGCAATTACACAATAACCACTTGCCATGAATATTTATATGCGAACACAAATTGCATTGTACGAGTACGTTTTCCAAGCACTTGGCTTTTACGGCGTTGGCCAACTTCGGCCGAGAAGACCTTGCAGGCCTCTTGCCGCTCGGTAATTAAGCCAGCCAAACAGAATTACAAAACATGAGCTTTGAGAGCTCAAAAACTATCAACCATAAAATAATTGACTGCCGCGAAACACTTGCAGTGGGTCAATAAAACGTTATTAAAAGGCTCTAAAGAAACTGAAGATTGTTGTTTGGCTACACCCACGCACCTAGTTTGGTGTCAGCATCTAAGATGTGTATTTAATGCACATAGAGAAAAAATTATGATTAGGGAAATAGGAAAGATATTTGAAGAAAAATCCTATTTTCAAATGTAAATCTTGCATAAAAGCAAAGGATTAAAAATTCTTTACTAATGATTATTAAATATTTGTAAGTTCCTACTCTTCAAATTATCCCTTTCTGATCTAAAAACTTTTTTGAAAACTTCTTTGAAAACTTGATTTTCTATTTATCTTCTATCTGCTATTTATCTTCATTGTGTTTATCCTTTCTTTTTATCCTTTTTGATATTTGAATATTATTTGATATATTTTATCATTAATTTATTAATCCATCTTTTAATATTTTCCCGTGTAATCAAAGTGTGGCCTGGTAATCCCAGGTAAACAGTAGCAAATCTACAAATGTCTCTGCACATGCGCAACAGCTGCAAAGAGCAGTACTTGGGTGAAAGCGAAAGTTTTTATCCGCCACGAGCTTTTCTTCGGGCCTTTACATAATACACGATTCCATCCTTTAGCTTTTTTTTTCTTTTTTACCCATTGCCATCCTCGCTAATTTGAAATGGTATATGGAGAGGAATTCTGAGCTCAACTCACTTTTGATTTAAGCACTGGCACTGCGGATTTCAGAAGTTGTTAATCTTATATAACAATATTGATACGCGTTGCAGGGGGATATGGCTGAAATCCGGGCTCTAATTGATCGCCGGAATATCCGTGTGAGCTTCGCAACTGAACTGACGACGATGTGAACGTGGGGACGCTTTGAGCGAAACTGCCAATTTTTTGACTGAAAATTTATTTAAACCTCGCTCTTGGCCGAAGCTCATTGCACTCAGTCGTTCGGTTGGCTGAGTGAGATTTAAGATTTGAGTGGAGAGTGGCGGCTCATATAGTGGAGCAACCCGAGCAGCACTAACCGAACTTGGGGATAGCCATCTATCCGCATGGAAAGTGGTTTTGAAAGGCTGTCGTCTTCATTATATTATTCTTGGCCTGGGTCAAGGTGATGCATGCCAGAGATCTTCCCCTTTAAATGCCTCAACGCGGGGCTAGAAACTCACACACACAACTTCCAACTGGATCCCTTACTCGCTTCCTAGTCACAGTTTAAGGGGGCTCAAAGGGTAAAGGCGACCCTAATTACATTCGGCGCGTGTTCATCTTATTTATATCTGGTCATCTGTAAGCGGTTTTAGGGTGACGTCACCTCAGACTTGGGTGCTATTTACAAAGGTCGCTGGCTGCGATTAACCCAAAATGTACTAAACAATCCAAAAATAATTAGCCATCAGGGCGTAATAGGTACATCAACTAATAGCCATAATACTTTCATGCTTCATTTCTGCGGTTGGCGCAACTAATAGCTTCCGGATGATATTTTTGGAAAATATCAGAATATTAGATTGGTGATAAGGTAAAAATTCTTTTAGGTATATATGCACCTAAATTTAGTCAATATATATACATGATTTACATATTTTTCTCATACAAACTTTTCATTGCGCAAAACTACTTTTAAGATCAACTTAAAAACTTGCTTAAGGAATTTTAAGTTCCAGGCAGAAAAGTTAATTTGTATACAAAATGTTCATTAATCATTGTCTACACTAAACAACCATTCAAGTGAATGAATTATGAAGGCACTTCAGTACTTTCCAGTTATAACTATAATCTAAATTAAGCTCAGGTCACTCTCCTTTGCTGATCTCTAAGTTTGCCTAGCTTATATTACTATTAGTCGTAAAAGCGTTATATTTCCATTCGGTCTAATTCAAACATTTTCCACCTTTTAGCTTGAGTGTCAAACGTGCCGTGCCAAAGATCGATGCTCGCATTCGCTCCCCTTTTCTTGAATATTCCATACTTTCAACGGGGGCGAGAGGATCATTGACAACAAGACATAGCAACAAAGCACAATGACATTTGTTGTTAAAGTAATTCAAATTGTTGTCATAGATTATTGTTTAACAATTTTATTATAAATTTTTGTGTTTTCACATTTGTAATTCAGCAACAAAGCTCGGCTTTGGCTTAAAATTCGATTGCAAAGGGATAGTATTTGTGGTTAAGGCCCTTGATTAAATTTAATGGCACAACACGTTCACCAGTGTGATATCCATCAAGAACACTCATTTCCTCAGCGGTCAGCTCAAAATCGAAGATATCGAAGTTTTCCGAAATTCGGTTAGCATTTGATGACTTAGGAATGGGGATCACACCCAGACCAACCTAGAAAGAATAATTAGTTGTTATCAATCAAGAAAGGAAACTTTTATAATTACCAAGTAACGCAATACAATCTGCGGGGTAGTCTTGCCATATTTCTTGGCAATAACAGCCACTTCCGGGGAATAAATAAAGTCCGGCTTCTTGATATCGGGTTTCGGCTTTCCTAAAGGCGTATATCCCGTCAAGGTGACATCGTTTTTCTTACAGAAGGCCGTCAAAGCCTTCTGGTTGAGGGCAGGAGAGCACTCCACCTGATTGGTGACGGGTTTGATCTCACAGTTAGCCAAAACTCGTCCCAGCTGTTCGCTATTGAAATTGGAAACTCCAATGCTGCGCACCAGTCCCAGTTTAACCAGCTTTTCCATGGCCTTGTAGGTATCCAGGTAGTCCACATCGCTAAGCTGGAGCACATCATCCTCATTCTTTGGCATGAGGGTATTCTCGTCCACATATTTATAGCCAACTGGCATGTGCATCAGGTACAGGTCAATATAGTCCAAACCAAAATTGTTTAGCTGTTTACGGCAAATGCCCTCAACGAGCTCTGGGTCGTGGAAAACGTTCCAAAGCTGTAAGATGTCGAATGTTAATAGGTCGCTCTAGAATATTTTCTTATAGCTTACCTTGGTAACGAGGAAAATGTCCTCCCGCTTGACCACTCCCTCTTCTATTTTATCCCGGATCGCTTTGCCCACTTCGGCTTCATTTTGATAGAAATAAGCCGTATCTATATGGCGGTAGCCTACATCGATTGCGTGCTTTACAGCGGCCTCGCCTTCATTGTCCTTGGACTGCAGATATAGAAAATAAAGTTTAGCATATGCTTTCTATTCAACAGAAACAGAAATATGTTTTGTAATGCGTATTTGGAGATCAATAATTTGTAAATTTCAACCCAAACCCAACAATATTGTTAAAACATCGATAAGCCTGGAGTTGGAAAATCAAAACCACTTACAAAATTATATGAATGGACAACGGCGAAAAACTTGGAGAGGGTTCGAAAGGAGAATATAAGTTATCATAAAGTAAGCACTTTACAAAAATTTCTAGCACAATATCAATAAGGATTCCTATTGATGTGGCTGTTTCTTAAAATCGATTTAAACTTTATGGATTAACTGAATTTAAACAATTTAACTTTATTACAAAATAAACGTTACTGCTAAACTAATATAACTAGAACGTATTAAGATATTTTTTCTTAAATATTATGTGCTTTAAACCCTAATCTTAGTTTGCTATTTTTCATAAGGATAGTACTGATGATTCTTTGCTTTCTCAAATTTCCAGATTCGCCGGCCCTGATTGAAAGTCCCCAACTGAAGCAACTCCTCCGGCGTCAAGTGAAAATCAAAGATATCAAAATTTTCGATTAGATGAACCTGTTGGGCAGCTTTTGGAATGGGCACCGTTCCAATGTCGATCTGTGAAACATTTGTTTTTTAGCTATTAAAATTCCATTGGTTGAATATTTTAGGGATTTTATACCAAGTATCTTAGTATGATTTGAGCAGGTGTCTTGCCGTATTTCTCTGCCAAGGCCAGTAATTTGGGATCATTGTAGTATTCGGGTAAGGGTTTACAGGTCTTAGGACGACCCAATGGTGAATAGGCCACAACGGTGATATTATGCATTTTACAGAGGTCAATCAATGGACTTTGTACCAATTCCGGATGACATTCGATTTGAAGAGCAACTGGCTTGATTTGACAATTTTCCAACAATCTCTTTAGCTGATTAACATTAAAATTGGACAATCCCAAGCTGCGTACAAGCCCCAGGTCCACCAGTTGCTCCATACTTTTGTAGGTTTCCAAATAATCCACATCACTGGAAATCCAAAGATAAGTTTCTTACAGGGAATCGGTCTATCCAAAACTCACTTGGTCTGCAGTTCGTCATTAACATGGGGCATCAAATCATCATCTGATATATAGTGCACACCAACAGGCGAATGTATCAGATACAGATCTATATAGTCCACACCTAGTTGTTTTAATTGCAGTTCACAGGCGTATTTCACCCACTTGGGTTCGTGATATATGTCCCACAGCTAATTGGATATCGATTTCCAATATTTTTATATATGCCTTGAATTGTTTTTTGTATTCCTACCTTTGTGACTAGAAACACCTGTTCTCGCTTTAGTTTTGTTTCGCCTATAAATTGGTGCAATACCTTGCCTATAAGATTTTCATTCCTATACAGATAGGCGGTGTCTATATGCCGATAGCCCAGTTCTAGGGCGTGGCGCACTGCAGCCTCACAACGCGATTTCTTTAGCTACAGATAACGTGAATAATTAATTTTTTCAATTTCACAACTGTTCTTAAATGGAAGGTAGAATGTTCCATGGACCAACCCAATTGATTGATAAGCTTCACTGATTATAAGTATAAACTTACATTATAGGTTCCCAGACCCAAAATTGGCATCTCATAGCCATTGTTCAGTTTAACAGTCGGAGCTAGCTTCATTTTAAAAGTTTAAATAAAGAATAAATGAAATAATTTGATCACTAAATGGAGCCGGTTAAACTTAGTGTGACCAAAAAGATTTAGCAATAAATAACACCATTTTCTAAACGTTATTATTTAAGAATGATGAAAAGTTAGAATAATAAGTAAAAAGTATTAAATTCTTATAAGCCAAAGATGAAAAAACACTAAAACTATCAAAAAAATATAATTTGATAATTATTTTACAAAAAAAGATCTGTTATTTTTCTTTTGAACTTTCACAACACTGCCTTTAATCAAGGTACTACAACTTGGTACCTAAAACAGCTGTTAGGAAAAATATTTTAGCTTAATATCTAAATCTAAACAAAAGAAGTTTTAAAAGATATATATATATGAGAAAATGAAAGGCTGTACAAGTACTTTAAAAATTAAATAAAAAACTGCCAGGCAACGCACAGAAAATCCTATAAGCTTATCACAAAAAAGGCCTTGAAACGTAATTAAACAAATCAATTTCTTTTTCATCACTTTGATAAAAAGCAATTTTATAGCCAATCATGAGCCATTTGGGCCTTACGGATGTGCATCAATCTCAGGATGCTACTCCGGATTTGGAATCCTTCACAGGTTTTGGTAATTCCGCTGCAGAGGCTTTTATACAAAGTCTCGCAGGAATGGTGAATCAGGGAGATGTGGAAACCATGATAAGGGCTCAAAAGCAAATGTAAGCTACAAAGTTCATGCCACATATTATTTGAATAATCTTTAATTTATTAATCAGGCTGCAACGCTTCGAAAAAACCAATGAGATGCTTCTTAACTGCAATGCCCTATCCCAGAGTCGGCTGAAAAGTGCCAGCGAGGATTTCAAAAGACATGTAAAATGCCTTAACGATATGAAAAAGGATCTGGATTACATATTCCGAAAGATAAGGGTCATCAAACAGAAGCTGCAATTACAGTTTCCCGCCATATATGCTGAAGTACAGCCGCAAAGAAGCAGCTTGGCGGAGGAAGCCGAGGACGACACAGAAGCCCAAGCCAAAAAGAACACAGAAACACCTGCTTCATCGGCAGGAAAATCTGTTCCAACCTCTTCAGCCACTAAGAAAAGTGCTGCCACCATTGAGTATGTGCAAATGGAGGAGGCCGTGGACAATGGCACTGTGGAGATCGAAAACGAGCTTATCAAACGCGTTTGCTCCGTGGAAACGGCCAATCCTAATGATTCCTCCGATTGCACATCCGAGGACACAGGCTGAATTTAGTTAGCTTTAGATATATATATGGTATATGTTTATAATTTATAATAACTTAATCGTTTAATATATAATGTGCTATAACCAAGGACACAGTTTAGTTAGATTTACCTTTATGGTGTACGCTAAGAACTTAATAGGTTAAAATATTATCTGGTACTTGTACTGCTTGGGTACCTTTGAGATTATAACTCGACCGTCGTAGCTGAGAGAAGCAAAGATCCAGGGATCCACATTGCTCCACTCAGCGCAGTAAACAGAGTCTTCATGTTGATCAAAGGTCTGCAACAATCCATCTGGCAAGAGTTTGTGCCGCTCCTCAGTTTCGGCACCACTAAAATTGGAATCATCTAGACCTGCTTGAACCTGCGTCTCTGAACTTACAGATCCTGCGCAAGTGAGCAGAACTTTGCAATCACTGGAGCTTGAGAGCAGAAGCTGGTCATGGAATGTGTTAAAGCGTACGGACCACACCCAATGCGAGTGATCGGAGCGTTCAAAAACGGGAGCCTTGGGCATCCGACAATCCCAGATCCTCATGTAACCATCATCCCCGCCGGTGACCAAATGGCATTGCTTGTTAGGATTGCAGTCCAGGTCACGCACCATCTGACCGTGGGCATCATTGATGCTCCAGGCACAATGCTGTGTATCCCTCACATCGTAAGCACTAAGGTTGCCATCTTGTAGCGTGAGGAACTGGTGTCCCTGATGATGATGAGACCATTTGCCGGTAGTGAAGTGTAACGTGTGTTTAGCAGATCCACTAGAGGACCCACTCGCCGGAACTTCGGCTACTACGCGGGTTGACGCTTCCGCTCGCTGCATCACCGCCACCTTGTTGTCCACGACGCAAGCTAGAACTCCATCTTGGCTAGGATGGAACTCGATGGTTTTTACACGTTCTCCAAGAGATTCAGTGTCCAGCACCTCAACATTCTCCCATGGAAGGTACTCCGACTTCAGCTGTTCCGGATCCGGGTTTAATTCTTCTGGGAGCGTTAGTAAAGCTGATTGGCTTAGCACCTGCGCTCCCTTTTGGACATTGTAGACGGAGGCTAGCAGACGGGCATTATGAGGACAGCTATTAAGTTTCCATACCTCACCCAAGGCGTGTTCAAAGACCTGGTATAAAATATCTTTTTAATATATTCATTGATAATCTCAAATTCTTACCTTTGATTGAACAGATACCTGTTCCTCCTCGTACTGAATTAAATGCACTTGGTTCGTGGGTTTCAAGGAATTGGTGGCTATAAAAAAGCACACATCATTGTTCTCTCCATATTGAGGTGTTAAAGCCCTAGCCTGCAGTTCAAGACCGTAGATTAAGCTGTTTTCGTCCATTTTCCTTAAATATTTCAATGTTTAGATTTTGGGACGAAATAGGTACACGACATACGTAAACATTAAGTTGTTCCTAAAAGTGTTAAAAACGTTGAAACCCAGGTGGCAACTCTATGGCCAATTCAAAAATTAAGAGCAGTCCGTTATTTTATTATTATTTATTAACATAAAATTAAATAGTACTTTACTTTTAAATAAAAAAATTATTTCATTCTAATTCAATAACTGGTATATAATAAAAAAAACTCAGATATACTTAAAATTATTAGTTATTTGTTCTTCCTTACCATTATGTTAGTGTGGCCAGTCGACATCGTTTCCCCCCAAAAACCTGAAATACAACCCTGTGCACGCCCAAACACAGTTTCTTCTCGTTCTCCTTCCATTTTGTTTTCACACAAAAGTGAAAAAAATATCTGAAAAAGCAACAGACGCGTATTCCGACCGAACAACAAAATTTCCACTATACAGTACATATAATCATTACATATAACTGAATCCGTTCTGCCAGGGAGAGCGCAAAATTAGGACACGTATTAAACGTAAGCCAAATAGCGGATAACATATAGCATCCTAGATAGCCATGGCGCAGAATATCAGCCCCGAACAGAGTGGTGGAGCAGGAGGCGGGGGAAGTAAGCACAGCGATGACTCTTTGCCCGTGAAAGACAATCACGCCGTGAGTAAAAGGTGAGTAAAACACGGTTTTGACTGACCCATTGTCTACACCAGCTAATCCCTCGTAATCTCATGTACATACAGACTGCATAAGGAACTGATGAATCTAATGATGGCCAACGAGAAGGGTATATCTGCGTTTCCGGACGGCGAGAACATCTTTAAGTGGGTGGGCACCATAGCGGGCCCACGGAATACCGTGTATTCCGGGCAGACGTATCGCCTGTCTCTAGATTTTCCGAATTCCTACCCATATGCAGCACCTGTGGTTAAGTTCCTGACGTCCTGCTTCCATCCCAACGTTGATCTGCAGGGCGCCATCTGCCTGGACATCCTGAAGGACAAATGGTCGGCCCTATACGATGTTCGCACCATTCTGCTGTCCATACAATCCCTGCTGGGCGAGCCGAACAATGAGAGTCCACTGAATGCGCAGGCCGCGATGATGTGGAACGATCAAAAGGAGTACAAAAAATATCTAGACGCCTTCTATGAGAAACACAAGGACACTTAGAGTTGGCTATTCGAAGTCCTAATCCTATGCTCATATTGCGGCGTATTTATTTACATATAGTGCAAGCAAAACTCCACTCATCCGATCCTACTGCCAATCATTATGAATCACCACCGTATCAATTCAACATCGTTTAATGCTGATATTTCTTGGCAACTAAACCCCATGCATTTCTTATGTAATTGTCGATCGATAGACGGATAATCTGGTTTTTATTCTCATTTTTTCCTCCCCCACAAATTAATGATATATATGAATGTATTGGTAATGTAATTTTAAAACTGTCCGTTCTTTAAGATAAGCATAAATTTTAGTTAATTGTTTTTATACGAATGATTTTGAAAACGAGCGCTTTCGCCGCCCGCCTTCTGTACTGATGATTTATAAGCGTTTGTGCTGCGCCGGCCATTATGTGAATGTTAGCTAATTTTAGGGCAGCCTCATCGATTCAACCATTCGTCTTAGTATCTCCATTTATGCGGTATTCTCCCACAACTACTGGTGTGTAACAAATTCCAAGTAATTCGAATCATTGTAACAGTTGAGTTAGCTTGATGTTATTGAAACCACAAATAAAACAAATTATTGAACTACATAATATTGCTCTTGTCGATCAAGTCATGTTTTTTCAGGTGACTGTTAAGGGTTACACTGTTCTTAAAGGTGCGTCCGCACTTCCTACATCTCAGGAGGTTTCTATTTCCATGCTTACGTTGCAGATGATCTATCATATTTTCCTTGGTGTAAAACCTATGATCACATAATTGGCAGGAGTATTTCCGATCCTCTAGATTGCTGTGGATTCTTTTGTGGCGAGTTAGATGGGCCTTTCGCACAAAGGATTTTCCGCACTCTTCACAAATGTGCCGGCTATCAGGGGATTCTAGTTTAGGAGTCCGGTCGTGCGACCTTTTTAAGTGATATTTGAGACTTCGGTCCGCTGTGTACACTTTATTGCATTTTGGGCAGGGATAGATTACCCTTGCCGAGGTATTATAATGCATCTCCCGCAGGTGTTTGTCTAGCAGATTGGCTCTGGCATAACTCTTGGCACAATGGACGCAGGTATACGGTCTTAAACCCTCATGCTGCTTCATGTGGGCCTCCAGCAGCGACGATTTGTAGAAGCCACGATGGCATATGGTGCATTCGAGGGTATGTCTCACCCCTCTTCGCTTTCTTTGGCCTAACAACTTTCTAATGGATAAAGTGGGTATCTTTTCCTTTCCAAGATCCTGTTTTGCCGTCTCGTCCTCAATGACGTACACTTCCTCCTGGAAATTGAAGGAAATACTATAGATTACAATGATGTATTTTTGGAGGTATATATATACTTAGGAAAAATTCTAGGTATTCTATAGATATTAAAGGTTTTATCGGCTCCTTTCTGTTAGTGTCATTGCAAAGTAAATTTGCTCTTAAACCCTAGTAAGGTACTCATGTAGGCTTAATCGCTTATCAGATAATTTATATTTCTTATCGTTCTCCTTAGATAGTGGGATAACTTAAATCCAAAAACTTTAAAGTTCATGGTCAACACTTTAGGGCCCTATTTAAAAATAAATAGATCTTTATTAACTTATCCTAGATTCATATAAACTTCCCACTTTATTCCTAGAAATACCTAAAAATGTACGTATACTTTTCTTATAAAATATTTCTATACTATCTTATCGTTTGCGTTAAATGAAAATACAAGACTTTTTCGTTTTGGGTCATTGATGTGCTCAATATTATATATTGTTATAATTTTTCTAACATAAATCAATAGGAACCAAAATATATTTTTTAATTAAATATATTCTTCGCTTAGCTAAACGATACCTTATGGTATCCTTATAAATTACCTAATTTTTTTTATTAAAAACCAACAATAAACCATTTTAAATAGCAGCATATCACATTTTGATTTTTAGTTTCAACACCTTGGTCTAGTTATAACTAGATATTTTTGAATTTGAATAAAAATAGGTTTTTAATTTAGGAGCCTTCAATATATATGCGCTATCTTACTTTTATTATTGTCTATATATGCTACGGAAAAAAAAAACTTAAAAATAACCAATAGATTAGACCTGCCTCCTTTTTGAATTCTAATCACACACCAAACATTCAGACACAAACAAAAATAGTTTAACACAAACAACAGCCCAAATGTTTATGTTTATATAGCGGTGAAATATTGGGGAGGTATTGTCTTTGGTGCTAGGCAACACCTCAAGCACCGAATGTGATTATAGATTAGATTATAGCAGAGGCATAGAGGCAGACTTGTGCATAGATAAAACTCACAATCTCCCCCGTTGATTCGATGCAGGGTGCTTCTATTGAGGCTTCCCCGTTAGTGGTTTGATTACTTTCCGAGGGGGTATCCAAGACAGGTGTATTGAAGTTATCTTCCAGCTGTTTGATGCATTCAAAGTCGATGTCAAGCAGCAGCTTCTCAAAATTGCGTGACGACTCTTCGCACATGCGTTGAAAGTCATGGAACTTTTGCACCAATTGGTAGCAGCACTCGCAGATGCTTTTCAGGACCAACTGGGGTGGTAAGTCCTCATCCTGCAGGCGAAAGACCTTTCCTGGATCACCGCCAGTACAGCCAAAATACTTTCCAGCCAAATCCTTTTCGCTCTCCAGGTTGTAAGAGATATCCTGGGGGCCAAGCAGTACCAGACAGGCTCGGCAAATCATCGTTTTGGTCACATCTCCTCCATCCATTACATCCAGAGTTGTGGAATCGGCGGCCATGCGACTTGCGCAAAGATTCAGCTTCAATTCAAACATCGTTGACGGCGGGCGTTCCACTCAAAACTCAACCGGCATGGAACAAATTGAAATCAATTATCACAATTTACGCCTATACCGTAGTCCGTCGTCGTCCATCGGCCACCCCCTCAATCACAGTTATGCCAGCGGCGGAGAGCAGACCCCAAACAACACGATTTCATTTCCGGGGCTTTCACATTGCGGGACATTAAAAGCTGCTGCCGGAAAGCTGTTTGGGATCAGCCTCGAAAGCTTGATGGCGTTATGCCGCAACTTTTCTATTCAAAAAGCTATCCTGCATCTAACGATTGATTATAATTTTTTATATATGATAATATGATGAAAATTATTTGAAACTTTAAATATTCAATTTTTATTAAGTTCCTATAGATATCTTAAACCTATAATTTTATTCATGTATTAAGATTATTTAAGTTTAGGATAATATTTTCCTGGGATAAGCTCTTAATATTTTATAGTGGTTAAAATATATATATGTTTTGGGATAATAACGTTTGTTTTTAAACATTAAACTTATATTTAATGAAACAATGATGTTCAAAGTTTTATTTGTGATTACAACACACAAAGAAGTAATTTTAATTATATAAATGCCTTTCCTATTTGAAATTCGTCAAGTGATTGGGATGTGGCAAAAAAAAGGATAGGCAATATAAAAAATAATATGTCTTAACCTTAAATTAAGTACTACTGAGATTGTAGTAATACGATTTGTTTCTCTTGCTTACTAAATACTCTTCACCATTTACAAACTATTACCGGTCACCGTTGAACCCAATGTTACGGAAGTGGCCACTGATGAAATGGTCTCCATTGAAACATTGAACTTCTGCTTAAACGCCTGCATAGTGTCCAAATGATAGATCTTTTGTGTTCCATTGCAGGGTCTCTGGTCAATAGCCACGGCATACAGATTGACATCTCCACTGTTGGCCAATAAAGTCGACATATAGTGGGGCAAATAGACGCGCTGTAGCTCCGGCGATTCAGAAGTCTCGGAGGCATTGTCTCCATTAGCCAGTTCCTTGCTGAAAGACCGATGTAATCGCACGATCTGTACGCTCTGGTAGTGGGCAATAAACAAGAAGGGCTCGCGATAAATAAAACCAGTGGGTGCATAAACCCAGTTTAAATCGTATGGCCTTGATCTGCAGCCAAACTCATCCACAAAGACGCCACATTCGGCAAAGCACAGAAGGTATTCCTGACGAGAAATCCTCACAGCTGTAAGTGGCTGGCACTTTGCAGTGCTCTCCATCGACTTATCTGACAAATCCACAAATTCCTCAGCTGCATAGTTGTCCAAATCGATCTCGTAAAACTTATCCGAACTAACAATAGCTGAATGACGTGTGAAGAATATTGAAGTAACTGGAGTGGCCGTGTCCAAGGCTCGGACTGGCTTAAACATGTGCAACTTAAGGTCGTACTTCAAGATGACAATCCTTGTAGAAGTTGCCGCAATGGCTACCGAATCCAAAGCGTTCTCTGCCTCATCCGAAATCAGCACCATCTTCCATTTCTCAGAGGGCGTGCGATTGGCGAAAGGCAGTTCGATGGCAGAAGTCTCCAGCACAGGCTTATGACAAGCATTAGAACTCTGGCAACGCGACTCCAGCTGCCTATAGTCACATTGGTAAAGTTTCTCTCCCACCGTGCCCACCATAATAGCCTTCGCCAGACGCTTGCAGATGGACATGCAGCTCACAGACTCTATGCCAGAAATGTGCACCAGTCGCTGGGAGTCCAAGTGATAGGCATACAATCCCGTGTTACAGCCCAAGAGGAGTATTTGCTGCTCAGCCACCTCGAAGGCGCAGTTTACTTCGATCTCCTTTTTATCCTGATCATTTGGACCATCTGAACTGTAAACCAGAGATCCCATGTACTCGCTACTAGTTGTTCCACCAACAACATCTACACTATTTAAATTTAAGCTCGAGACAGATGGAATACTGCTAAGATCATCAACTGACGGCGCAGTTGGCTTCGTACCACAATTTCCCTGAACATTGGCCCGGCATTTGCGATGCGTCACATCTTTGCACTCTTTGCATTTCCAGAATGGGGAACCGGCAACGATGGCCTGCCCACAAACTACACAGTCGGCTGCATTTACTTTGGAGTCCTGCAAGGCCAACTCAAAACGATGATGGGCGTGATCTTCACTAATAGATTTGGTGGGCTTCTCCGTGGTCTTAAACTCCACCTGGCTAGTGGTGCGCTTCAAAGGTTGCTGCTTTTGTGGAGAGCGTGGCAAGGCAGCAATACTTACTGGTCTTTGCTTGACTCCATCGGAGTCGCCGTTAACAACCGCTGACTTGCGAGGAGAGCGCAATGTCGCAGTTCCTAACCAACAAAATATTCATTATTAATATTCATGATTACAAGCTTTATAATTACCAAAACTTACCATTCAATTGTGCCAGCTGCTCCTTCAGCATGGTGTTTAGCTTCTGTTCTCGCTTTAGTTCTTCCTTTAGAGCTCGATACAGAATAGAAGACTCCACATCGTTGGGGGACATATTTTCCTTGTTGGTGTGGCTGGTACCAAAGATCTTGTCTGCCAGTGTTTTCTTCTTCTTAGAGGACAGATCTTCCACTTTAAGCTAAAATTTAAGATAAAAACATTTAGTCCTTAATTCTTTGATAAAATAGAAAACAGAATACCTGAAGATAGTCAATTAGCTTTTTATGCTGGGCAAGAGTTGCATTTGACTTGATGTCGCGCTGCACATAGAACTGTTCCTTCTCTGCCAATGTGTCCTGAAGAGAATCGATCTCTGCGTGCAAATCTGCTTGGACAGATTCCAAATCCCTTATCTCTGCCTGGAGATTTCCCACCTCCTCCTTCTTGTGGAAAAGCTCGCTGAGAATTCTAGCATTTTCCTCTTTAAGGCTAAGCATTTCCCGATTAGAATCTGCAGTTTGGGCTTCGTAATTCGCATTTTGGCCATCTAGAAGATCCGCTCGTTCTTGAGTGGCAAACAGAACGTTAGTCTGCTCCATTAACTGATCCTGCTGCGCCACCAACTTCTTTTGCTGATCTTTTAGATTCAGACGAATTTCCTCAATTTCAGATGCTAAAACTTGGGCGCGCTGCTCTGCAAGACGCTTTTCTGATTCAATCGCAGAAAGTTCCTTTCGCAGCTCAGTCAACTGATCATTCCTTTCTCTCAATTTACCATGAAGAGTTTCTAGTTGAGACTTCTGGGATTTATTTCGGTCCTGCTCGGATTTCAGCATGGTTTCCACCTCTGTTAGTTGCCCGTCGGTAATGCTGCAAGCGTACTTCAACCTCTGGAAGTTCTCCGTGAGCTGCTTAAGATCCTTCTGTAGAGCCAGACTGGAATCATTGGCTTTTCTACATTTCTCTCGCTCATCCTGCAACTCTCTCATGGTATTCTTATGCTCCAACGTTAATCCATCGAAGCGGCTTTGGACTTGCTTTAGTTTCTGTCGCAATTCGCTCTCCTGCTGTTCAAGTTTGTGAACATTAGCCAAGTGCTCGATAATTTCTGATTTACACTTCATGCGTTCCTGTTCAGCTTTCTCCCATTGACGATGCTCCTTAAGGACATCTCTTTTAGCGGACGCCAGTTCCAGCTTGAGCTCATCTATGCGGGACTCGCGCAGGCGTGTTTCCTCCTGAGATGACTTCAGCAGTCTCTGCGATTCTTCATTTGCGTTTTGAGCCTTTTTAATCCGATCCTCGGTGAGTTCCATTCGACGGGCTAGTAACTTCTTCTCGGATAACGCTTCCTCAAGCTGTTTCTCCACCTTCCACAGTGAAAGATTTGCTGTACGCGCAGCCTGACGCTCCACAATCATTTGTTCCCGCACTGCTGCCAATTTATCCTCCAGTTTTTCGTTCTGCCGCTCGAGCATATCACCCACGGTTTCAGTTTCTTGTTTACGCGATGAGTGCGATTTTGTAGGCGAGAGACTCTGCTCGTTGAATCGCTCTAGCATTTGCTCCAGCTTTGTAACCAGTGTCTGAAGCTGATCGGCGCGTCCTTTTTGGTGTGTTTCACCTTCTTTAGCGGCTATTAAGTCTGCACGCAGTTGGTCTTCAATGGCATTTAGTTCAGTCAAAGATCCTGGTGCCGTTTCGTATGGAGAAGTTTGAGAAGCTAACGAAGATTCGGCTAGCTGGCAGCGGCATTCGGCGAGCTAATTAAACAATATATGTTAGTTATTGTTAAACTTATCGGTTATCTATAAGTTTTGGTAAATGTCACTAAATTGAATTATTGATTTAACAACCCATTTGTATATAGCTTATTAAATATCTATAAATAACATAGGTTTATTTGACTTGCAGTTCGACATAAAATGCGATCGATAAAGCATAGCTTGCTTTTAGTTTTTTTTTCTTGTAAGTTAATTAACCACCTACCTGTAGTTCCCTCTCAAGGCGATGGCATTCTGCTTTTACTTCTTGGGTTTCATTTTCCTTTAGTTGAAGCTTCGTCTCCAGTTTAACCTTTTCCGCATGAAGCTCATTGTTGGAGGCGATCTCCTGATTTAGTCGCTTTAATATTTCCTCGATGTTTCGCTCCGTAGCATTCTTTGCCTCCTGTGTTGACTTGCTAGAGCATATGGACTCGTCCAGTTCAGTACGGATTTCCTTTATCTCCATTGTCATTCGACGATGTGTATCCTGAGAGTCTCGAACCTTCTTCCGAAGATCTGCCAACTTTTGCTCATAAGATTCAGCCATTTTGCGCTTCTGCTCTTCATTATTGGTCTCTGATTTGAGGTTCTGTTCTTTAAGCTGCTGCAGCATATCCTTGTAGTTCTGCAACTTCATGGAAATATGCTTGCACTCTTCGAATTTAGCATTGAACTCCAGTTCTCGGGCATCCAACTTCTGCAGTGTAGATGCAAGCTCTTGTTTTTTGTCAGCCAATTGTTTCTCATATCGTTGTTCTGAAGCGATTTTGGCTTCTTCGTACTTTTGGCGATTCAAGCGAAGCAAATCGGTTATGGTAGCTTCTTTCTTGGACCACATTTCCTCGTCAATCTTGGCTGAACTCTGAAGTGTCTTGATCTGCGTTTTGCAAGTAGTTAGCTCCATTGTTTTTTCCTTTATGATTTGCTGTAGTTTCTTAATCTCCATTTTGGCATCGGCAACGACCTGAGATTTGTTATCGGTCTTTTTGAGAGATTGCTGAGCTCGTAAAAGATCTTGTTTAAGCATAGAAATCTCATTCTCTCTAGTCTTAAGTTTCTGCAGCAAATCTTTTAGTTTCTCCTGCAACTTTTCATCAGTAGTGGCGGTTATAGCTGACTTTTCCATGTGCACAAAAGTATACCCAAGGAATGGTAAATCCCTCCCACTAAAATCATTTGATTTCATGTTTGTCGTTAGCGACTTCTTAGCCACTCCTTGTTCTCTGCGAGTCTTATGCCGAGACCCATCCTCGAAATTTGAGGTATCATCGTCAGACCTAACAGTTGGTATAATAGGAGGCACCTGTGACCGAATGGAACTCCATGGAACATCGTCAAAAAAGGGGTGTTTTTTAATACGCTCATATGATAATCGCTTCGAGGGATTAGTAACCAGTCCCTCAATCAGATTCCTATAGTTAATAGACACCTTCAAGTCGGTAGGAAAGCTAATCAGTTCTTTGAGGTGACTTTCCTCGCAATGAGACAGAATTTTTGAATACGTTTCGTGTACGTTATCCTCGTGAAAAGGTGTTGTCTCACATATGAGCTCGTATCCGATTATCCCCATGGACCAGTAATCGCAGCTGACCTAATAATTAATTTTATGTTTTAGCTATGAACTTGCCAAAGCCAACTCTGCGATCGTACAGTTCTACTCACATCGTGCATCGACTTGGACAGCTTGTAGGTGGATATGGTCTGCAATAGCTCTGGAGCTATGTAATCTGGAGTTCCCACAGGTGACAAGCTCAAAACATGACCATCTCGATCCAAGGCAGCGGCATTACCAAAATCAGCCAATTTGATGTGCCCGAACCGGTCAATCAATATATTTTCTGGCTTAATATCTCGATGTACAAAGCCCATCTCGTGCAAAGTGTGAAGGGCCACTGTGAGTTCAGCCAGGTAGAAACGAGCCAAATCCTCATCAAAAGGACCATGACGAGACATTAAGCTGAGAAGATCCCCACCAGGCATGTATTCCATCACAAGATACAGGTTATCGTTATCCTAGAAAATAAAAAATACAAAAAATACACTAAAAATAAGATAATATAAATTTCATTTAACAAACCTGAAATGCATACTGCAGATTAATCAGCCATTCAGAATTACGGGTGGACATGATATCTCGCTCCTCCTTGACTTGCGAGGTGGTCACTACCGATTTTTTGATCTTTTTCATTGCGTATATATCATTGGTTTGCCGCTCGACCACCAGATGGACATTGCCAAAGTATCCTTGACCAATAAGCGTTTTGATAAGAAAGTCATCTGCGTTAACCCGCAGTTTGCGGGTCTCCTCCACAATGGGACGAACTGGAGAAAAGACACGGTTTTGAATAAAAATGCAAATTTTTTGATCATTTTAGCATAGAATATTTCCACTAGCGGAAAACCCAGTAGTCCAGTGTAGTTGACTCACATTTGTTGACAAACTCGGCGATGTTGCGATCGCGCTTTTTCAGCGTGTCCTTGTCGCACTCATTGTACAAGAGGCAAAAGGCGTCCAGAAGTCCTTCACGGCAGATGGCCTCGGCCACAGCGGCGCTTGTTGCGCTTACAGGAATAATACTCCTCCTGGCAGATGCAGAAACTCCCGATCCGCTGGCGTTTCCAGAGGGTTTGGCACAGACGCCAGCACCTTTGCCCAGAATTAGGTTGTTCAGGCGTGCCGTGCGCACACTAATCGGCTCCAACTTGGGTGGCATGATGAAACCCTTTTGTTTATAACTTTTTACATAAAGAAACTATTTAGAAACCCGAAAAATGCTAGAGCATTTCAGTTGCCGTTTTGCTTTGAATGAGAGAAAAAAGAAGCGCCGAGGGAAGCCGAAAAACCAGGGATGCATGCTTATCTAGCAGAGTTGCATTTAGGGTTACAAACATGGCTGTATTTTCTAAAACAATAATTTATCAATATTTAGAGAAATAATATGTTTCTATAAAAAATTCTTAATTTTATAAAAATGTAGAAGCTATAACTTTATTATTTAACAAAAATAAAGTAAAATAGTTTATCTCTGCCACCCCCGCTGCTTTCCAAGGGCGCTTCCCAACACCGTCACAACACTCGCCCGTTTTCATCGTTCATTTTCGACGGGTAGGTTTTCGCAGACGGACGGAGCAAAGATTTGTGCATCGAAAATTGCAATTTTTCACATTTAAAGCCGTGTGTGCTGCACCACAGACATTGGAAAAGCGTCTACCGCACTTGTGCGAAAACACAGATCCACAAAGAAAACGCGGCTATAAGGCGATTGGCCGCAAATTTGACCCGAAACTGGAAGGCAATTTCGTGTGAAAAAAAGAAAAGAAAAAACGAAGGAAAAGAAGAGCAGAGGTTGAAACCGTCGAGAAATCGTTCGTTGTCGCGCTCGCTATAATTGTTTGCTTTTTGGCCAGAGAAATTTGTGTGCCTGTTGGCATAAAGCACTTAATAAGAGTTTTTATTCCGGTGTAAGTGCTCAGTGAAGTAGAGTACAAGATGAGCGGGGGATTGCCGGAGTTGGGCTCCAAAATAAGCCTCATTTCCAAGGCGGACATTCGATACGAGGGCCGCCTGTACACCGTGGATCCGCAGGAGTGCACCATTGCGCTCTCGAGTGGTAAGTATTTAAGTAGAAAGCTCCCACGTAATTGCCATGTCGCTTTATATGTACGTACATATATGGTATTATATGTAGGTGCCGTAATCTGCGCCAAAAAATCCCTGTAAAAAAAAACGGTTCATCGCAAAAGAAAATGGATTCTTTTCATTTCTCTTCTGTGTATTCTCCTCGTTTTTTTCGTTTCTTTTTTTTTTTGTTAGTTTTTACAGTAATTTCATACTCTGTGAGAGTGCAATTGCCGCCGCCTCTCCCTCTCACACTCTCTCACTTATGCTTTTTGTTTGTCATGTTGGCTTTGGCCTGTTTTTGCCCCCTCTCTTGTTGTTGTACAGTGTTGCTTTTGCAATGTACAAGGCACACATACTACAAAATCGACACACACAATTGCAAAGTTCCAATGCAATTTGTTTATTTGCAAAAACAATTTCGATTTGGCGCCAGATAACGGGATCTACGGGCTCCAGTTACGGATGTCAGTGCCCTGGAAGGCAAAAAAAAAAAAAGGAGAAACGGAGAACGCACAAATACCGGCAAAACATGCGTTTCCCAGTTGAGGTTAAATTGGAATTGTGGGCCTAACCTTAATGGGTTTACATGGATTTCACAATTTAAAAATGAGCGAAATCACTAAATTTCGGTTAAAAATATAGTTTGTCTAGAATGTCACACAAACATCAATTGGAATATAAATTTAGGAGATTAGCCTCTGGAAGTTTCACCTATCCGAATATTTATATTTAATTTTTGATAAATTCTTACCACCTGTAAATACAAATACAATACCTAAAAAATTGTGTTTATTAGTGATTTACTTCTATTTTTTCTTTAACTTTTCAATGCTTTACATTTTATTATTTAAAATTACTAATATTAGCCACGTGTATTTGCATTTTAAAATTGAAGCAAACTAATAAAAAAGTAACGTTTTCTAATTCTTTTCCCTAACTTAGTGCGATCCTTTGGAACGGAAGATCGGGACACCCAGTTCCAGATAGCGCCGCAGTCGCAGATCTACGATTACATTCTTTTCCGGGGATCGGACATCAAGGACATTCGCGTTGTCAACAACCACACTCTGCCGCACCACAATGACCCGGCGATCATGCAAGCGCAGCTCCAGAATGCACCGCCCCAGATGCCGCAGCACTTTCCCATGCCAAGCGGGATGAATGCTCCGCCACAGCAACAGCAGCAGGTCCCCTCGCAGCAGCAGCAGCCTCCTCAAATGCCAGGAGGTGGAGGTGGTAATGGTGGCGCCGGCGGTAATGCTCCCGGAGGGGGCGCCCCTGGCTATGGCAATGGAAACCCGTTCGGCAATCTGGGCGGCCCGAATCTTGCAAATATGGTGGGCAATGCGGGAGGATCTCTGGCTCCCGGATCCGGAGCCCCGGGTAGTGGACCTTTTATGCACATCGGCGGCAATCAGCAACAGCAGAAGCCCCAGCAGCAGAAACAGCCAAGTGAGTTGGGTTAGATCAGTATTTAAATTACTTTACACACTATATATAGAATTCTGCATAGTTGATTTCCAAAATTAGCATAAAAAAAGTAGTTTTATTCTCGAATTAAATAATTCAGCTCAGGATGTGGTTATAACCTCATTATATACATTTTATCAGATAAGACCGCATGTTTGATACTCGAATAACCACAGCCTTCACAAGTTTGATAACAAAATTTATAAAAATATTTTTAATATTTTGACTAATATTTTTCGGTACATGCACGCATTATTTTCTTTCCTTTTCGCCCTCGTTGCGTCCTCTATATGTATATAGTTTCCGTTCTAGACATGCTGGCCGGAGCCTCGCGCTCGACGACGCCTATTAGCCTGATTGTGAGTCCCACGGCGGAGCTGACCCAGCAGCAGCAGATGCACCAGCAACAAAACGCTGGCCAGGGTGGCAACGGACGCGATGCAGGACATAAGCGCCAGAACCATCAGCAGCACCAGAATCAGCAGCAAGGGCAACAGCAGCGCGGTGGTCCCAGCCACAACAATATGCAACAGCAGCAGCAACGCGGAGGCAGTGGCGCGGACTTCTATAACCAGCGGGATCGTCGTGATTCCGGCCGTCAAATGGATAATAACTACAGCAACAATTATAATAATAATCAGCGTAATCGCGGTGGCGGTAATGGAATGCAACAGCAGCAGCAGCGAGGAGGAAACGGCGGCGGTGGCGGAAACGGAGGTGGTAACAACCCAGCCTGGAACATGCATCGCGGTGGCCAGAACTCAAACAACATGATGATGCGTAATCGCGGAATGGGAACCCGCGGCCCAATGAGACCCAATCAGGTACATCTTCTAGTGACTCAAATCTCTATTGATGGTTTACTGACCTTTTGCGATTACAATTACAGGGCTATCGTCCGAACTCGGCCAATCAAAACAAGCCCCGTAACAAGATCAAGTTCGAAGGTGACTTTGATTTTGAGCAGGCCAACAATAAGTTCGAGGAACTGCGCTCCCAGCTGGCTAAGCTTAAGGTTGGCGAGGATGCCGCCACCAAGCCAACACCTAATTCGACGGCAACCACTGCAACTGCAACCAATGAGCAGGTGGGTGAGAAGGTTGAAGGCGTCCATACAGTAAGTCAAACACAAATTTATTTATTTTTTAAACACAAGGTACACTTTAACATATTTTATAAAAAATGAATTTTTGATCGATTTCGAAAGTGATAACTTACATTACCATTTTTTTTTCAGTTGAATGGCGAGACCGACAAGAAGGATGACTCTGGCAATGAGACCGGTGCTGGTGAACACGAACCGGAAGAGGATGATGTGGCTGTGTGCTACGACAAGACCAAGTCGTTCTTCGACAGCATCTCTTGCGAGGCTGCCCAGGATCGCAGCAAGAACAAGAAGAACGATTGGCGCCAGGAGCGCAAGTTGAACACGGAGACTTTTGGAGTGTCCTCCACACGACGTGGAAGGTGAGTTAATCAAGTAAATGATTTATCTGAGAACTTTTTATAATTTAAATAAATATTTAAACCAGTTACCGCGGACGCAACCATTACTACAACAACAACGGTAATATGGGAGGAACGGGCAACGGTGGCATGAACTCGGGATACGGAGGAGCGTCTGGCTATAACCGTAACAACTATCGCATGGGCGGCGGTGGCAACTACCGCAATCGGAGCAACAATCGCAACAACGGAGGTGGCCGTGGAGGAAACGGAATTCCAAACATCACCAACGGCAATGCCAATACGGCTGCTGCGCTGAAGGCGGCCAACAACGTGGGATCGGGATCAAATACCACGGAATCTAATGCGCCTAACGCCACAACTACGACGACAAAGTCTACGTCCCTCTTGCCAGAGCAGACGCAACAGGTGGCGGCAGTTTGTAAGTAGCAATTACATCGCTATTATTATTTTCCAAAGTGTAAATAACACGTATATACTTCAACAGCTCAATAGTGCCGCCCAGCCAGTGGAGAACCACTTTAAATAAAAACACAAAGTAATAGATGCGAATTAAGAAAAAAGTAAATATCCTATTCTTTGCAAAGCTAATTATTCGAAGCAACCCAATCAACCGACCGACCGAACGATCGACGACACACAGGCTCTTATTATCAGGAATTTCGAGTTATGGATCTAACGGCATAATATATTTGTATAATTAAATTTAGTGTTACAATTCTCACTACGTCCTGGGGCACACATCGCTGCCTGCCCACCACCAACACCGTATGCTTGGCGATAATAAGCGCTTAACTAACGACTAGCGACTGTGAACCGGCCATCTGTTAGGTTTTGTGTAAATGGCTGGTTCCAACGCCTTTCGCTGAGCAAAAAACACGGTAATGATGATAACGAGAGGAGGAGGAGATAATGATGGCATGCCTACATACATACATATATTTAGTAATAGATGTGAAGAACATAGTAAGCATAAGTATATGAAAAGCTACAAAAAACAAAACAAGAGTTTATCAGATGCACGGAGAATTAGCGGAGATGAGTCGATAACAATAATGAAATTAATGGAGCAAACCAATTAAATCCATGGAATTCCCAAAACTACAAAATAAAAGCTAATTAATACGTTTTTATTTGAATGAAAGAGAAACACAAACCGATTGTAATACTGTATTTCTTGTGGGCGTAAAACATCGACCAACACTCGAACCGTTTTACTAGCATTTAAATATATTATTTAAGAGCATTTTAAATATGAAAATGGAAATAAAATCGGCAGCTAATGCTTGTTGGAAAAAGCACAATTGTAAAAAGTCAATCCAGCCCAGCAGAAGTCTCCAAATGAAAATATCTAAAAAAAAAAAAAAAAAAAAATAGCCAACCAGTAGTAAATTTTTCATTATTTAAAAGTCATCCATTTAATATTTCGTACAATTTATTTTTGCTGATCTCGGTTGGGCTACACAAAAAGATAACGTTTTTCGCCACGCCTGTAATGGAATTTATACTTACGTTTTGAAACGATACGATGTTCTCTCGATGTGTAAATGTTAAGATTGTGTGATCACTACTGGCTGCTCCATTTGAAGTCGAGGCCGTGAAACCGAGTAGGAGCATGCCTATGCTTTCAGCTGAAATCCTTTAGATATGTGTTTGTTATCCTTGTATCCCCCAAATATATATTTGTAACGAATTCAGCACAAACCGCCGAGTGCCGAATTAGAGTGCAGTTTTGGTTATCGGAGGACAAGTAGTTAACACGCACTTTCAGTAAAACAGAAGGGGATAAGGAGGAGAAGTTACCGACACCACACATTTCAATATTATGTAATCATAAATTATGTATCTAATTGTATGTAAAATGTATATCTCCATATATGCTCACCCTGATTAGCTCTACATATGTATGTATGTATATATAAATACGCAATTATCGAGTTAAACACGGAAGAAAAAAAAAACGTTTCGCGAGTAATGGCTAAATTGTAAAGACTACCACATATTGAAATTAATACTTAATAACATGTAATAAAGGATAATTGAATTCAAGAAGTAAGCAACTACGGTTAACATTTTCATTGTACCATTGGCATATTCCAGAGATCTTTCGCAGTTTCCAACACAGTATAGAACGAAAAACACTCGGATATACATATGTATGCATGAGCCTTTGTACAATGACCTAGAATTTCGATTTAACTCCCGCCCTTAATATTAAATACAGTATAATTTTATAACTGGTACATTATTAAACAAAAGTTTACTAAACCAAACGAAAATAAAAAAATTCCTAACTTTAAAAGCATGCAAACAATGAATGTAGGAAATCAAAAGTGAAATAAAAAGTTAAGACAAAATGTAGAGGTTACAAATCATTTAACCAATTTTGATTTTTGATGGTTGGTTAACGAGTGCGTTACTGTCATAAATGATGGCAAATTATTACTAAATGAAATGTCTAATTTATTTTCCTTTAAAATAACTTAAGCTCTCAAGCCCGTCTAAATTAACAAGACGGGGCACTTGATATATACCTTCCAGAAAACGCTTAATCCTAATATCAATTTCCTTGACAACTAAATATCGCATTATGTCTTTTTCGCAGAAAATTATAAAATAACTAAAAAGTATTATCTTCGGCAGTGAAGATTAAGTATTCGGGTTTATACAAGGTTCCTCAGAATCGCTGCATCATTTGTCCCACAGACCCAGCTCTCGCATTTTGGTTTGGAAGTAGCGCTCCAGGGAGTTGGCACAACGATAATACTCGGTATCGGGTGAGTTATAGAATCGACAATTGGAAAAGATACGGGCCATGTCTGCCATGAAAAGGCGGCGTGTCTGGTAGTAACCCTTCTTTAGACGATCCCCCATGGTTTTCAAGTCCATTGGGTACTTGATATGGTCGTAGTAATCCGGTACTTCGGCAGCGGTGACCGGACGCAAAAAAGGCCAGGCGGTAGTGTGTTGGCGCACAGACTGCAGCACCGATGCAAAAGATGTGGCAAGTTTCTCCGGATCGGAGGATTCTTCAAGGGGTCTCGATGACCGAGCTGGACGCATTTGTGGCTTCCAACCAATCTCGCGCAGTCCAGGAATCGACTCAACGGGAATCGAGGGCAGGCCCTCCTTGAAGCAAGTCAAGCCAAGTCTTACTTTCTGCACCTCGTTGTGGCGTTGTGCTATTAGCTCTTTCAAAATCTCGCTCTGAAAGCGAATAACTGGAAAGGAGAAACCAAGAGTAAAATTTGTTTATGATTGCAGAATTTAGTGGACTAACCGGCAATAAATTGGGTGTTCACAATACTCGGATGCAGCTCGCAGTGCATTAAAGTGGCGCTATCGTACTCTTTAATGTAACCCGCATACACGGGTCGTGCCAACTTAATGTCCTTGGAAAAACCCTGCTTCTTGAAGTACCCAATGGCATCGCAATCTGCAAACGTGAGTAGATGTTTAATACCTCGTTGGATACTATAGTCCTTCAGGTGATTCATCAAATGCGTTCCATAGCCCTTCACTTGTTCCGACATTGTGACTGCGCAGAAAACAATTTCTGTGAAACCCTGCGAGGGAAACGGGCGGAAGCATATGCCACCGATGGGCTGGTTTTCCTTAATGAGCGCCAATGTTTTGTGCTTCGTGTCGAAGACCAGTTGACTGATGTATTCCCGTGGCATCTCGGGTAATTGATAGGCAAATACAAGCTGTAGGCCGAGAAGCCATAACATCTGTTGCTTGTCCACTGGTTTGGTGAGCGAATTGCCCACTACATGAAACTCAATGGCCCGCTTCTGCTCCTCCGCCTTGACATTCTCATCGCGTGAAACATTAACTGGAAAGAGTATTTCCGCTTTGTTAGTGGTCTTCGACTCCGACACTGATTTCATGGCGCGCATCACGACATCCGTGGGCAGATCATCTGAATTCTCACTAAAATAGAAACTTTAGTAACAAAATCTAATAAAGATTATGCTAACCAACCTGCTGGAGCGATCTGTCGGCTCCTTTTTAATTCTCTTATGAAGTGGTTCGCCAACACTGACTCGCTTAGCACCTCCTATAGTTGTTACACTAGGGCCTGGAGTTACGGGCACGGCTTCCTGATGACGCTTTCTCTGCTGGATGACGAAAGAATTGGGTGGACGGTAGTTGGGATCCCAGATGGGTGAATCATCCTTTAGGAGCTCAGCGCGAAGGGCTTCCAAAAACTTGGGCATCTGGGTTATTATTGAACGCTTATCCTCGGGAAAGCGATCTCGCTCCGAAATGCATTTCTTTTTGAGCTGTTGGGACATGTACTGGAACACAGTGCGCAGAAGAGTTCGTCCAAATACCAAGGACGTTTCGAATTGGCGCAGAGAGTTACAGAAGGCTGGCACGTGGCAGAAAACTAACCACCTAGTGTAATTAATCTTGTAGTTCGAGGCATCCTCATGGGTAAGATCTCCCCTCCTCGTCGATGGTGATTCAAAGTTATAGTGATTTAGAAAGTTCAGGAACGTCTTGCCCACTTCGGTCATGGTTTGGAGTTCAGTCGGGTTGAGGTGGTTGTATTTATAGAAAACCAACGATAGAACCGCCTTGGTGATGCATGGCGATTCAAACGGCGGATCTCCCAGAGGACCACGGATGACTGCCTGCTGGCGCGTTAGGACGCACTGACGCAGCAAACGGAAGAGATAAAGGTAAACCTTCTTGGTGTCTTCGTCCTCGACGCGCTGCATGGACATGAATAGGTTCTCCATGTCAATAATGGCACCCAGAAGCTCGTTCATGCTGGAGCTGGATATATTGTCCAAATGAGCAATATGCATCTTTAAGGAATGCTGGCAGCTGGCGTTTCGGCACTCCTCGTTAAACTCGGGACAGTAGGAGGACTCCACGTCACGGTGGCGGTTCTCCTGCGGTGTTTTCCATCCGGTGCAGCGGCATCCTTCCGACTGGCAAGCGGAGTACATTGAGACTTTGGCCAGTTTCTGGGAAACGGGCAGATTGAAAACCTTCTGCTTTCGCTGTTGGATTCGTTGCAAGCTGTTCTGCCGCGTTCCCTCCGCCGGTACACTACCACCGCCTACAGCTCCTCCATTTCCTGGATTTTGGGCGGAGCCAGACGCTGCAGATGCCCCAGCAGCTGCTGCGCCATTCGCACTTTGCTGCTGCTGCTGCGCTGCAGCGTTCCCTGTGTTGTTACCATCAATTGGTTGGGTTTTAAGCGTTATGGATGGACCACCAGACATTCCAAGATAACCAGATAATTATATCTGTTAGTTTTGCACAAAGTGTACTTTTTCTTTAATTTCACAAGCAACACAACGAGCCTGTCCACTTGCTGTTTTCCAAAAGAAACTGCCAACCTGGGGTTTTACACGCTTGCATTTCTCTTTGTGGTGAAATAAATATCTAATAAACATATATGTACATATATGTTTTTTTTTTTTTAAGTTTAATTAACTTTGTGACAATTTCATATTTTATTAGCAGTCCTGGTTTTATTCTAGCAACAACAACTTTTATGAGCGTTGTGAAAAAATCTTTAGATTTTTAAGAGGGGTTTTTAGTATTATTATTGGATAGTATATTTTTAGTAGAATTTAAGATTTTTGAATTGTTTTTGAAGTAATTTTTTATTTTTTTAATTACTTATTAATTTTTAAAATTTTTTTCTATACATATATTTCATTATTTGAAGCAAATATCATATATGAATGTAGATAGGCTTAGCTAGCTTGGTGATATTTGACCCCCATTGACAACCTTAAAACCAAATCTGGCTACGCCCATTTGTACATCTGTTTTTGTTTGTAGCTGATGTCAAATACGCGGCGCTAATACATTCCTTTTGAAATTACAGCTGACTAATCCAATTAAATGGCTGTTAACGAAAGTTTAGGTGATATTGAAAACCATTTGGATAATTTTATCGTTCGCAAGAAAAAGCCAGAAGAAAAAACCGCTTGTTCTGCAAAGTCTGGACCTAAGATTCATGAAAATGTTCCTTTAACATTATGGGATATTCTACGCGTTACTCAAGATCCGGATAGGGAAAAGGTGTACATAATAAGTGGTGCCGTTCCGATATACTTTCGCACCTGCATAGTTTATGGTTTTGTGGCCGGATTTGGAACCCACAATGACTTCTTTAATAAATACATTATTGATGATAGTACAGGATCACTGGAAGCGAGTATTCCAAAGAAGCACAGAGATAGAGATGTCATATCCAGCCTTTACAATGAAGTCTCTTCATTGACGTCTAACGAAGCAAACAAGCCCGTTGTCGAAAGCTGCATCCGACTTTTGAAGCTTGCCATGCAATTTATAGATCCCTCGCCCATAAAAAGAGGAGATAATCTGATTCTACGCGGTCGTCCTAATATCTTCAGAGGAATGGTGGGACTAGATGCTTTTTCGTTTTTCATAGACAGCGGCAGATCCAGAAAAATGGAAATTTGCTTTGCAGATAACGTAATAGACTGGCACAAGGAGTATAAGAACCAAAATAAAACTAAGAAGTAATATTGATTGTTTTTTTCTTGTATTGAAATTTTACTGTTAATAAAAAATCAAACTTTAAATAAGGAGAATTTAGGTTGTTTTTGCTCGAATGGCGGCACGCTTGCCTGTTACAGCCTGGAAACCTGACTTGATGCTGGCGACTGAGCAGCGTGATCCGCAGGACTCGCACTGCAGGAAGAACAGACGCGTGTCCTTCTGCAATATCGTTTCCGGGGAACGGCAGGTGTGACAGGTTACATACTCCTTGATGTAGCGACGCAGCACATTTTCGATCTGTTTGGGCTGGAAACGGCCCTTGATGATCAATTGCTGGTTGCCGTCCATAGACCCGCTGGTACCCAACTCGGCCAGCAGGAAATCGAGCAGATGCTTGGGCAGGCGATGCAGGGTTTTCGCAATGTCCATGAAGTTGGCAAAGGAGGTCTTCTTGGTTCCTACGCGCAGCACTTGCGGTGGTCGCATCACAAACTTTGGCTTGCGACCGGCGGCCATGTCCGGATTCTTGTCGAGAATGATTTCGAAGACCCGCTTCAGCAATTCATCGTATGTGTAATCGCGGTCGGAACCAAACCAGGTTGAGCTATTGTCCTCAACTAAAAGAAAAAGAAGCCGTAAGTAGGAATAGAAAACGGTGTCTTTGGTCAAGATTTCCAATGAAATCTGTGAAACTGTTTTCCATTAGTCATCTTACCATTCTCTTTGTCTTCGCTTCTGTCCTCGTCCAGTTTATCTGCGACAAGCTCGTCCAAATCCTTCTTCTTGCTCTTTTTCTTCTTTTTGGCCATCGAGAAGTCCATGTCTAGGTTGATCTCCTCCTCTTCAGGCTCTTCGGTGGCGGCCGCATCATCGCCTCCGAAACTTGGGATTGCTGCCTCGATTTCGTCCATGTTGAAGGGCTTCTTCTTCTTCTTTTTCTTTTTGCCAAAACTTTCCAGATCTAGATTATCTTCCTCAGCGGCGGCACCGCCTTCTGCCGAAGCTTCATCCTGTGGATCCTCTTTCTTGCTGTCATCCTCCAGGCCCAAAGCGGCGTCCAGATCGAAGGTGGTCTTCTTCTTCTTCTTCTTTTTCAGCAAAGTGGGATCAAAACCCTGTAAAAATTAACAAACAAAAAATAGTAAGGTAAAATCCGGGTAAGAAAAACATAACCTCATTATTCGCCCAGTTCTCATACACAAATATGTAAATACACATACACACACACCCAACGGCGCACATGTACGGACATATGCGAGTTTTCCAGCCAAGTTTTTGAACATTTTAAAAGTGCATCCTGATTGTTTTTAACTTACGTCTTCCGCGTCCATTGTGTTTAGGCCTTCTGAAGACTTGTTGACTGGATATTAATTTTGTTTTAACTAAAAAACTGCAATTGCATCAGCCAAAGTGACAGCACGGCAATCAGATTAGAGCTGGAATAACGATGATAGTCCTCTCGATAAAAGTCATCGATAATAGGGGTGGGGATATCGGATTCAACTCTCGATGATAGATATCGTTAATATGGTTGGCACTGTCGATTGGCCACTGACCGCTAGATGGCGCATGCTAAATTACTGTGTTAACTAACAGAATTAGAATCATATGTTAATTAAACAACCTGCAAATCGTTTTGAAAAATTTAAACCATTCTCTTAAATGATTTTAGGCAAATAATAATTTAATGGTTCATTTTCTATACATGTTAATTTGTATTACCTTATATATAATGTCTACTCCCATAAGTTTAAAAGCAAGTCTTCAATTTGTTTAAAATATATTTTTTAGAAAATAGCAATACAAAATTTATTTAAGGTCATTAATCTCTATTATCATTTTTCTCTAATTTCAATGGTTTCCGCTAATAGCTCAAAAAATTAATCAATGTGCAATAGCATAAGGATCTCCAATATTGCTTAACGAGCTACTTAATCAGCTTAATAACTCCCGTAACGTCAAAATAAATAGAACTTTATATAAAGTGGTAAAAAACATCTCATCTTTAGAACATACAAGACAGTGAACAGTTACAGTATAAATGCGTTTGAGAGTTAAGACTTTTAAGTTACTGAGCACCTTAAAGTACAGAGATTTATTGCTCCAGCTAGGACCTGTGTGTGTCAATTATCGATTCCTTTGAGGTTGGTTCGTTTAAAGGTGGGCACTATTGGGTTTCGCCAATTCCGGGCCAACTCCTCCGGCCAGTTTCTGCACCAGAAGTCCCACTTCGTAGGCAAGATTATCCGTATCCTATGAATTATATTATGAATTATATTGATATTCGATTTTTTATTTATTTGTTTTTTAAGATTTACCTCTTTTGTGCCTGCTTCCGCATAAACCCGCACCACATCTTCGGTTCCGGAGGGACGGACAAAAGAACGACCCCTTTTGTAGTTGGCAACCACCTTGTTTATTTCCGTTTGCAGACCTTCTGGCTTTACACACACTCTTTCCGCATCCGTGGTCTCGATGACATTTCGATCCTGCACCTTAACCTTCAGTTGTCGATTGGGCAGGTCATTATACGACGCGATCCAGTCTTGGACGTCCCAGCCCTTGTGGTTCAGAATAGTTTCCACCAGTAGCATATCCGAGATGGCATCACCCACGGTTTCGTTGATCAGATCAATCAGGAGCAACAAAGTCTTAGCACTATCTTTAGTTTCGGCAGCTTGAGCAATTGTGGCTTTAGCATTTTCGCTGAACACAATCGTTCCATGACCATTCGCTTCGAAGTAAACACCAATATCGTACTCCAGGGCTTTGTGGTGCAGATGCTTAACGCCCGTAGGAACGCAGGAAACGGGAAACTTTAGTTCGTCGACTATATAGTCTGTGGAGGCTCCATTGGCATATGCAGTCTGCACTAGACCTAACTTCAAACTAATTTCGGCCTTCGTTACCAGTTCCATAAGGTAGCCGGCCACCAAAGTGGCTATGCGATCGCCATCCAAAAGGTGAAACTCTCCTTTGTCGTCGCTGAAAAAATACACAACCCGATCGGCATCTCCATCTACGCTGACACATCTCGTGAAGGGCTCTACCTCGGGCATGGATTTGGGCGGCCTTTGCTGGACCTTTACGTAGTCAGCACCGCAGTCCTCATTGATCTTGCCGGCGCCAATGCCTTGATTTATGACTGTCACTTTCAGGGAATCCTTCATACGCTTGATGAACTGCAGCATTTTGCGGGCACCCACTCCATTAGCACCATCGTAAATTATGTTGTTTCGATAGTTTCCGTTCTCTAATCGTCCATTTCGCAGCAGTTCAAAAGCTTTGATAAGTTTTTCGTAGTAACCCTCCTCAGTGGGCTTGCCATAGGCCTCCTTCGTATTCGCCGCCACCACAAAGTAATGCAGCATAGGTGTGGTAACAATTCCATATTCCTTGACGTTTCCCTTCAGTGCTATCACGCCATCGGCCACCGCTTTAAGTAATCTTGGACTGTGATATCTGTTGTCCATGCCCACAAACACTTGGGAACTTGTTGTCACATCGATGTTGTTGTCCTTGATGATCTTAGCCACCTGTTGCTCCAATTCTTGGTCGCTGACATTGACCAGATCGGTGGCTATCGCCTCCCAGCTGGCCTCCAGCATCTCTCCCTTGGGATCGACTAGTTTGACTCCGTTATCCGGTTCCGGATTGTGAGATGCCGTGATCATCACGCCGATAACGGATCCGCCACGATACCTGGAACGTAAGGTGGCCAAAACTCCCATCCGGAACATTACGCTGTCCAGAAATTCGGCTCTATAACAGAAAACAAAATGTTATATATACAAAGATATGTATGAAACTTTTTGAGATTTTGGTGACGAACCGCAATCATAGTTATCACTGTAACTATCTATTTTAACTCTTTATCTCTGCAGCCAATAAAGACACGGTACTCTACTCTTTACATTATTAGTAATGTATCAGTAAGCTACGAACGTCGGCGTGTTGGGTAAACTATACAATCTGACTTAGTGGTTACAAAATAGGTTAAAAAAAATGTTAATTTTTTCAAAGTTGCATAAATATTTTTAAGGGAACCAAAATGCTTTATCCCAAAAGACTGAAACAACCATTGCTATTTGCACTATTTTGTTGACCCCAAGTGTATGTTCGTATGTATGGGCCCATGCACATGCACGCACCTAGTTACTTATATACCTACATCGGCAAAAGAAGGGCATGTCCATTGATAAAAGGTGAACAATATCTATAAATAAATCACAGATTCCGACAACATAGGGGCTACAATCAATGTACTTATCTTAAAACAAACAAACACCATTTGCTAATCAAATACGGGCGACGTATGCAACGTGTGGGTGTTAACATAATAATGATTAACTTCGAAGATCGTTAATTAAGACAACTTACTTGCCGCGAAAGCCAGCTGTTCCATATTGAATGGTCTCCTTAGAGGTTTTCGGGTACATTTCCCTAGCGAACGCGTAAACGGTGCGGAGATTAATAGACATTTTTGCGATTCAAAAGGTGGTGCAACTGGTCCAGAGCAAGGTTGAAGTTTCCGTCCGGTTTTTCCGGACTTTCGAAATTTACGAATTCCACAGATGTGAGGAATTGTGCAGGCGGGTGTGACCGTCGAGCCTTAGCGCCACTACGTTACACCCAAAAATGCATTTCTTTGACGGCGCAATATGGTCACATTTCACAGAAACTTAAAATGGTTTTTAATTTTCTTCGTTATTATTAAACAATAGGCTTTACAGAATGCTTTAAAGAATTTAACTTATCTTGTGCTCAATTAAAAGTTTTATTAAATCTATTATTGTGATAATGACGTCAGCGTTGACACGAATTTGAATTTGGCGGTTATAGTTTAGGTCAAGATAATAGGTTTCTTCGATACTCAAATAACTTTTATACTTATTTTTAAATTAAATTTTATTAAAGAAGAGTCCACACATTATTAATTTCGTTATTTTATTTGTATACTTAAAAAAGCTGTTGTAAAAGATTCGGCTTATATCTCCTAGGTACACTTTTTTGGACGGACTTAGTTGGTATGTACACAAACAAGAACTATATTAAGGCACATGTACTATATAAATAAAAGTATAGAACTTCTCTTCGGATAATTATCAGCTAAGGGGACTCTGATTTGATATATTCGGACGGAATGGATCTCACTTTTAAACTTAAACGTATTTGGAATGTAAAACGTTGATATGTTTCTCTTTGTGCTAGAGATAATTGTACAATTTTGAAATCTTACTGAGTCTCTTGATTTAGAGCATTGCAACTAAGGATCCCACAAGGAGCAGACTCATTGATAATGCCAACTGTGAGGCACCGGCATAACAATCGGTGATGCGGCGAGCCCGCATAAAATCGCTACCCAAATAGGCATCGTAGCGTCGCTTATTTGGGGGAATGATTTGCAACTGCCGCGTGGCATCCTGGAAGATCAGATCGTAGTGTCCGATCGGCGACGAGAACATGCTGAAGCTAAAGGCATCCACTTCCTTGCGACCATAAAGTTGTTGGGCATAGGTAAGCAGGTTGATATAAGCATTCATTTGGGTCTCGTTGTAATTGACTCCACCTCGAGTCACTACTGCATTGGCTTTAACCTTGCCCAGATTGCAGCGTTTGTACTCTTGAATCTCGGCACGAGTACCATCTGTGCACAGAAGTTCGAAATCGTCATTTAAGGCATTTCTCGCCCACCATTCCTTTCGCTTTCCGCCTGTACTCTCCATCACCGTGGTGTGCTTCATGAAGGCCACATGGCCGCCACCCTCTACGAGGCACCTGAAAGCACCCGTATGTCCATAGTAATCCTCCGAGGCATCACGACGACAGTATCTGTAGCTACTTCCATGGCACAGATCGCACATGCTATCGTAGGGCACTCCTGTGTTATATTCATTGCTTATAGCACCCGGCACACACGACTTGGTGAAATACTCTGCAGCAGCCCGAATTGAATCACATCCGTATGGACGAATCCAGCCGTTTGAAATGAACATAGCCATTGGATATGTCCATCCAGCGGCGGTATTAATACCCGTATGGCAGGTATTTTTGCCCTTTAGGTATGTCAACTCTGTATCAGGATCCTCTTCCTTGGCCACAGCCACCACATAATACTCGGGCTCACCCAGATTGTATACTTCCGACATGAAGGGTATTAGGTCATAATTTAATCCGCCAGTGTAAACATCTCCAGCATCAAAAACAGAAATGTCAGCTTTTCCCGCTTCGATGAACTGCATACAGTTAATGTGAGAGTGCATTTTCTTGCAGATGAGTTCCGGTTTCAACAGGTGCGCTTTTAGTGCAGTCTGTAAGGGATTAAACAAAAATTCTATTAGAATAAATCACTTTAAATTACCTCAAATTAACTCACCCTCATCTTGATGCACTTCTCGAGTTCGTTCTCTGAAGTTACGCAAAGAGTCATTGCCGGTACCGGACACTCACGAATTCCGTAAATATAATTAATGGCAGGTCCTAAATACTTGCTAAAGGACTGATCATCTTCAGGGATGATAGTAAGAGCCCGGCTGGAATCCTATGATGAAATTAGGAGTTTTAAATTTAAAATACATCTCAAAGAACAGTAAATTTATAAATACTACAAACCTGGAAGAGCAAATTTGGCTTGCCATAGCGTTTGGACTCGAAGATGCGAAACTTTTCATAGACAATGGAAGTGTTGGTGCCGTCTTGCTGGTTTCTTTCGGCGGAAAAACTGCTGTCCAAACGCTCGCTGCGATACTGATCGTATTGATTATCCTGTCTGTATGGATCATTGTTATCGTATTGGTTGTAGGAGTTTCGATCGTTATAATTGTTGCGGTTGCTGAAACCTTGTCCCTGCCTGCCCTGCTGGTCATCATGGGTTCCATCAGAGTACAGTTCCGCGATCCGTTTTAAGAACTGCTGATATTGCTTTCGATCGATGAAGCTGCGAGCTGAAGATGTGACAATGGCGTCCGCGGGAACTTGACCCCAATTGCACTGCCGGTAATCGCTGATGGGAACACGACGTCCGTCACGACAAAGCAGCTCAAAAGTGTCTGGTGATAAGTTCTCTAAAAAATCCGTTAAATATCAGTAATGGATTTTAGGGGGCTGGTCATAATTTCTTACTGAATTCAGTGGTCTGAAGCATTTCATTTACAGTCGAATGACGCAAGAAGGCAACATCTCCCTTCTCCAGTAGACACTTGAAGGCTCCCTCGTACCCAAAGTACGGATCTGAAGCTGAACAACGACCTCCGGGGATCTTGCCAGTGCAAAGTGTACACAGTCTGGTTATTGAGACATTACTTGTTAGTCAATATCTTTAAAATAAAAACTTTCTTATAGTCTTACTTATCAGAATTATCGCCAATGGGATTGTATTTGTCGGATAGCGAGTAGGAGGCACACGAATTGTTGAAATAGTTGGCAGCGGTCTTCACCTGATTGTTACAGTCCACAACTTCCATACCACCTTCTCTTTGCAGCTAAAATGTAGTTTTTAAATATTGCATATTTTGTTTAAATTGTGGAAGAATAATTAATGAAGTGTAATTCTCACCGTGTGAACGGGTACAATCCAACCGGCCAGACTTCCCACCCAGGGGAAGCAGACTTTCTTGTTGCGCATGTCGTGGAGATTATTAAAATTCGGCAGTGATCCTTTCTTGATAACCGCAACGGATTGATATTCTGAAAAGCCACCCTCCAGTTTTTCCTGCATGATTGGGATCAGGGAGTTGTATCTTCCCGCCGTGAAGACATCACCAGCGTCCAGCGAAGTGATGTGGGCCTTCTCACGATCTATGTGATGGATGCACTCATCGGCACTGTAAGCCATGAAGCATGTGAGATTTAGGAACACCTCGTCAAACAAGGCTCGATCGCGTTCAATAGCCACAGTGAGATTTTGGCATTTGTACTGCTCTGCCTGGCTCTTGGTGCACCAGATCATTCGGCTAGTTTTGTGCTCATCGAATTGATGTTGTGCTGTAAAATCGTAGTTCACAAAAAATTACTTGAAGTCATGCCAACGCCCAAGAAATTGCCAATATCTGAATTCCATTAGAAAACTTACCGTTAGCGAGGGTAAAATATAAAGCGCCGACTAGAGCCACAAAAACGAGGCTTCTAGCCATTTTTCAGATATAAGAAAGTTAACTAAAAAGACCAATCCTAAAAACAATTACTCAAACAATACACCACACCCAAGCCTAGCTCAAGATAGCCAGTGTCACCGAAGCAGAAAAGAGATAAAATACTAAGTATTTTCACAAAAATACCAACAGGTACCTACAGTGTACCATACTTAATTACGATTCGAGTGTGTGAAAAGTATACCAATTTTTTATTCTATGTTGACAAAAAATATGTTAAATAAAAAGTGTCATCCTTATTAAATATATACCAAAATTATGATAATTTATTCATTTCATTTATCAGATTTAATTTTTTTTTACCACGTTTTTTGTAGTTAGTGTTTACAGTAACTTACCTCAAACACACCACTGTAGTGTGACCTATTATTTGTCATTTTGTAGCATATTACGAGCAACTCAGGTGTTTTGTGTTTTATAATAACAAACCGAGAAATTATTTTAAATTTATTTTTATTAGCTAAATGGCAGTTCTACGTGGATGGAGATTCGTTGGCTTCGTGTCCTGCATCGTTGGAGCTGTGGGATTAACCCTATATCCTGTGATTATAGACCCCATGCTGAACACCGAAAAATACAAAACCCTGCAGGAATACAGCAAGATAAAAAGAGATGAACTGCAACATGTTAAAAGGCAGTAAAAATACCGATTACAGCACTTTAATTAAGAACCCAAATATGTGTATTTTTGTTTACATGATAGCGCACTAAAATGTAAATATTCTAAGCCTTTTAGAAATACAAGAAAGTCTGTTCGTCGTTTAGCAGCATGAACTAAGTCAATTGATTAATCGTTTACTTTACATTTTTTTTCCTTTATATTACTAACAAAAATATTGTTTTTAAATAACATTTTAAATTTATTTATCAACAAAAGCTCAACTTCAAATATAAATTATGAGTGCAATATGGTTCCAGAACTAGTTCTCAGCCGGTGCAGCTGAAGCTTTAGGGTATTTCTCACCAACTCGTTGCCGCTTATAAGGTTCTTTATCTCGAATCATACGTGGACATAATTATTTGGATAATAAATAGAGGAAGTTTATAATTAGTCTAATGCAAAATGAGTACCGCAACACTGAAACGTGACGAAATCCTTCTGCTTTTTGACGTGGATGGGACTTTAACTATGCCCAGATCTGTAGTCACTCCACAGTTTGAGGAGTTCTTTTACACAAAGGTGAAACCCAGGGCGACCATCGGAATTGTTGGAGGATCCGACCTGGAAAAGATGTTCGAACAGCTGAATGGTCAGAAGATCCTCAACGAGTTTGATTTTATATTCCCGGAGAATGGATTGGTGCAGATTGAAGGTGGAAAGGAGGTGGGCAAGCAGAATATTATCAAGCATCTGGGAGAGGATACTCTGAAACGGTTCATCAACTTTGTCCTGAGGTATCTATCCGAGCTGGATGTGCCCATTAAGAGGGGAACCTTTATCGAGTTCCGAAACGGTATGATGAACGTATGTCCCATCGGAAGGCAGTGCACTAGGGAAGAGCGGAATACTTTCGCGGCCTACGACATTGAACACAAGGTGCGGGAGAAAATGATCAAGGACCTCAAGAAGGAATTTGCTGATGTGGATCTCACGTACTCTATTGGTGGTCAGATAAGTTTTGATGTCTTTCCCCATGGTTGGGATAAAACCTACTGCCTGCGTCATATCGAAGCCTATTATAAGTTTAAGGAAATCCACTTCTTTGGTGATAAAACGGAACCGGGCGGCAATGATTATGAGATTTACAGCGATCCTCGAACTATCAGCCATAGGGTATATACTCCCGACGACACTCAACGCATTCTTACGGAGATTCTTGAGTTGTGAGACAATTGAGCTTACTTTAAAATATTCCATTTTGATATATGTGTACGATTGTTAAACAAATTTAATATATAGTCATTTGAAAGTACTAATCCGTATCCATATCAGAGCTGTTGGAGCTTTCCTCTTCACCGCTGCTGCATTCCTCATCGCTGCTGCTGCTGTCGCTGTCCTCCCAATCGTGGGCCTTTAAGTTATTGGGGATTATCACCTTCCATTCAAGTTTGTGCAAATCCAAGGAGTAGAAATCGTTATAGGTCAATTGCTTAGCGTCCTCTTCAAAGAGTCCACCGAATATGTATAGTGTTCCTTTGCATACGCAGAGGCCGGGATTCATGCGCGGAGATGGTACGTTAGTTGGCTTGGGTTTGCCAAAAAGACTTGGTATTTTGGACACGTAATTGGAACTCGTGTTGGGTCCGCCAACGGTAACTGTGAAAATGCCATCTGTGGTAGTGGTTACTGGCTTATCAGGAGCGGACATCTCAACATCCTTGCACTCGTCCGATTCCTTTTTCTCAGCGGGACTACTTTTCGTTTGAATCTCCTGTAATCTCCACGTTTGAGAGGTTAAATCAAAAGCCAGGAGATCGTCGCCAAACTGTCCATGTACATCTTCGTCGTCTTCATCGACGTCCATAACGCCACCAAATGTGTATGCCTTGCCATTCGCTGCTACAGTGAAACCAACACTGCTACGTGGTTTGGGCTTATATCCTCCGGGCTTCACGGGTGCCCATTTGTATTTATTATCAGCGTCGCTAGAGTTTTCTAATCAAAAATTTGAATATATTAAAGATTGGTTCATTGAAATATATGCTTTAAAAACTTACTATCTTGACTCAAGACAAACATATCTGAATGAGTCACTCCACGATCCGCTTCCTTTTTCATAGAGGCCCTTGAGTAACCACCCCAAACATAGATCTTGCCTTCCGGAGATGCTGCTATACAGCACCCAGATCGAGGAGATGGGACTATAGTTCCCCCAATCTCAGTTTTAAGCCACTGATAAGATTCCAGCGAGAAGATGTGAAGATCGTTGAAGTAGTGATACGACTGGTTATTATCATGAAAGCCGCCAAAGATGAAAAGCCGCTTCTTAGAGACTGTCATTCGATGGCCACTCCTCGGACTTGGTCCATTAGGGGCAGTTAGCTTTTCCCATTTGCGGGACTTTAGGGAGAATTTCCATAAGTCCTTGTAGTGATGGAACTGCAGCTGAGAGGGACTAGCATGCTCTCCTCCAAACATCTAAAAAGTTTAAAATTTAAATTTAGTTCATAAGATATACGGTTCCCGTTTACCCAAAGTTCTCCTCCATTACTGGCCACAGCCACCATTTGGTGCCCACTTCTTGGTGTGGGTCCTGAAGGCGACCTCAGTTCCCTCCATTCACCAGTTTTTATATTGTAAAAATATAAATCGTTATAAACTGTGGTCTTGGTTCCCGTGTAAAGTTCTCCGCCAAACAAAATGAGCTCCTCCTTTTCTGGATGAGAAACCAATGTGAAATTGGATCGGGGAGTCGGTGGAGAACACACGGATTCGCTAATGGTTTCAATCTTTCCCTCCTTGGCCTCCAGCAATTGAATGATATCAGCTATATTTGCCTGTAAGAAATATGATTATGATTAGTAAGTTTGATATGAGCTCGCGCCTATATTTCCTCTTACTTCTCCAAGTTTTTCAAGCATTTTCTTTTGCCGTGCCGCTTGCTTTTTATCCGTTTTCATGGCTGTCTTCTCGGCTCCTTTACCCTTCTTCTTGTTCTTGTCCTTCTTGCCCATCTTTAAGGTTTAATTTATGTTAAGATGTTTAAATCAACAAACAATTTTTGCCGCACGTGTATCGTATGGAATTGAAAGAAGAAGATGTGTATTATTGGGATTGTCAGATACTTGTTGAGCAGTACGGACGCAATTGTGAGAAATATACTAACGGGTATTTTTAAAAGTGAGCGCGAAAAATGAATTTAAATCTAAAAAGTTGAGTTTACTTAGAAGACAACTTACTAATAAAATATCCTTCTTCCATCAAAATAAGATTTATTTAATAAATGCAACAAAAAAGCATAAAACCTTTTTAATCAGAATACATGTATAAGTTAGGTTATAAATAAAAGAGTACAAATTCAAACATCAAAACAAACATAAGTTTCTCCGAAAATAAACTTTTACAAACACAAGGAAATGTTAATCTTAAATGAAGTTAACTTCTTAAAATACACACTTTAGTTAATTGAAAAACAAATACTTTGATTATTAAATGGTCAATGTTATAAGTAGTATGGTATGTAGACATTTGTGGCTTAACACACTTATTCAGGTAATTAGGATTGTGAAGGATTGCTGCTCGAAGATCCGCGACAATTGACCGACCAACTGGAGTCGAATCCACAGGCGGAATCCGAATCCGAATCAACGGCGAAGGTTGGTGCTAAACCTTTAGGGGCACGCAACTGATTTGGAGTCGTAGGCATGCTGCTATATCCACCATTTAAATTTGAACTGGAGTTCGAGGAGCAGATAGAATCACGGGGCGAATCGGTTGCATTCGAGGCGTAGGATGATCGCTTAGAGGACTTATTTCGCTTGCTTATATAGTCAACGGTTTTCGGCGGTGGCATTAGCTCTTCCGATCGATGTGGTATATTGTCAGCCGATCCCCAAGACTTGTGCACTCCGTCATAGATATTCCGGTTATTGGGAACACTCGCCCTCGACGGAAGGCCGCCGTTCGTTCCGTATGGTGTGCTCATCGCTGCCCTCTGATTCGGATGTCGACTCCGTGTCGTACCAACGTGGTGATGATGACGCTGATGAGGGGCTCGGTGAGACCGATGGCGACTTGCTGTTCCAGTTCCCCCGCCACTGCCATAGCCCGTCGGTGCCACCCCACTGCCATTGCCCACTCCCAAGAAATTGCTGAACGCCTCGGTGGTCTTCTTTACCCGGACATTCAACGAACCAATCCGCAGGAAGCCCAAATCTTTTTCGACTGAAAATTAATATTTAATATTTTAATAAAATTAACATTTTTATGTTAGGCAATTAAGATATTTCTAATATCTCTTACTACTTACTTGCATGCTTTTTGCGAGCCTTGATTTCTGTAAGTGAAGTAAAAAGAGATATATAATTTATTAATACTTAAATATATTTTAGAATCTCAATATCAAATGAACGTGCATAAACTTAAAAAAAATGCCTTAAGTTAGCGGACTTTTGGAAACAAATATAAAATAATGCAGGCGATGGGAAAAACATAGAAAAAAAACTCAAAAGAAAACTTACCAATAGCAACGGAAATGTTGTAACTCAAAATGCTTGCCAAAAATTAAACCAAATAAAAAGATTTATATCTACCAAATGTAGAAGAAGCATATATATATATTTACAGGCTAAAAAATACGAAAGGTTAACATATTGAAGCTAAGGTTGCAACTGAAGGTTAAGCTGGCAAAATAAATTGAACATGGCTTTAATCAACACTAATGGTTTTGAAATACTCAAGATCGTTAAATCTCAACCTGCCTCCAGGTACCGTTGAGTCCGCCGCTGAATCGCATCGCTTGAATCTCTACATGCAGCAAAATTGAAAATAGAGATAGATAGAGGTTCCCATTTTATATTAATTACTAGCTCAGTTTAAAGTTCGTATACTCTACTTTTCTTCAGTAAGTTTGTTTGATGATGGGGCAAGAATATTATTAATTCCGAAAGCGCATTCTCTTTATGATTTAAGTTAATATCTTGAAAAATCTTTTAGGGTTTATGTTTTTAATATCACCAGTTCGGTTAAGACATTCAAATCTTAATAGTTTAGTTTTTAAAATGCAAATATTTTATTGTGTTTTACTGTTCCAATAAACATGCGATTAATTTTTAGATATGTACATAAAACTTAGTTATATTAAGTTAATATTGGTAAAAAATATATAACATATTAAGGCCATGCTTTGATACTTAAAAATTAGTGCAGAAGGTGTAGTTAATTTACAATATTTCGTAGTTTTTCTCTCATAAAAAGTTGAAATAATATTTTTAGTTAAGCAGACCCAACTAATTATTTTGAAATTGTTACATATATACATTAGCAAAATTTTTTGGAAAGGGTAAATACAGGTGGAAGATTATAAAAACAAGCCAGTGCAGCAATTAACCATGCTCTGGTGGGTTAGTAACAACATCTTTGGTGGACTGGCGACGGCTGCCACCCGCGGTGGCTCGAAAGGTCTTGCGGAGAAAGCTTTCTTTGCGTCGAGTGGTGGCCCCACGAAAGGGTACCGGATGTCCCTCCATTTCACAGGGCAACAGATCACTATCCTCACTGTTGGGCTTAAAGACAGCCGACAGCGGTTGCCCTGGCGACTTTTTGGGTCGACGATGGACCGTCATCATCGACTGTGTACGCGACACAGCACCACCTCCGCCACCAAGCGAACCACCGCTAATGGTGGCAAACCGATTCTGAGCACGTTTCTTGCCGCGGGTTAGTGCACTACCCAGTGTACCGCCAGTGATCTGACTACTCTCAATGAATCCCAGGTGGTAGTTGTTGTTCACCTCCGCACTGAAGAAATACTTTTCATACTCACTGCTGCACGTCGAGGCCGAGACACTCGACCGCTGGCGACTGTAGTCCAGTGGCTTGTTGCCACTCCAGTCCATGATGTCCCGATTGGCCTCTGTTGAAAGTTAAAAGAAAGTGGATTACCTATTTTTATCTTCTATTATATTAGATAATTACTTTAATATATATATTATATTAATAAATACTTACTGTAGACATTCCAGAGTAACTCAAATATGTTGTCTCTGCCAAACTGGGTGGCCAAATGGAGGGGTGTGTATCCCTAAATAGCAATAAAAAATATGAATTTTAATAACAGATTTTTACAATATTAATATTTAATCTATTCCCCCTGTAATTTTGATAAACAATAAGAACCCATATATAACCATGTTTTGCCACTTGCGGTATGTGTTGCAAGAACCGTATCGAATCCTGCGGCTGTGATTGACAATTCACTTTGTTTCAAATGTGGATGTGACATTTTAATACATTTGAGTGAATTTAATTTCGCAGTAACAAAGCACCGTTCAATTTAAAATTTTGTAAACTTGAATGCACGAAGGCAAAAGGATTGAGTTTGAAATTGGAGGTGACAGGCTGGTGATGCCCAATTGGATATGCTCGTCATGATTTGTCACAGCCGGAGCTCTTGGTTCAGTTTCGAGTCCAAAAAAAAAAAAAAGAAACCCCCTTTGGGAAAGGGTTATGTTACGCGACTCTGTGACATGTGACGCAGATTTACGCGCGACTGGGACAAGCCAATAAGTCGGTTCGTCGTTTATTATTAAAATTGCCTCAATAGATTTACATATCATATCACTCACTCACCCCGTTCTAAAAGGCGTCAACAGTTGGCGAAGGCGATCACATGGAATAAAGAATGTATATTAAAATCTTCAACTTAACACGTTGCCATCTTAGATAATCGCTTACCGTTCTGGCATTTACATCTGCCTTATAGGTGCCGGCAATTAGCTTAACCACATCTTCATTGCCGTGCTTGGCTGCCCAGTGCAGAGCGGTCTGTAAGGAATTAGTATGGGTTAAGTAAGTCATATCGTTATAAAATGTGGAAGTGCACGTTTTATAATAATAGTTTTGCTAATTATTCCTGGAAAATGGAATAAAACTGACTGATTTAGATAGAGATTAAGTACTTTGAAATGGTTACATTACATTCATTCTATCAAGTAGCATGAAAACTAGAAGAATATTGTCCTTAAAACTTTTTAAACTTATAAAAACCATATAATACTTATAAATTATGTTTTTTTTATATCAGTTAGGATATTTGTTGAGGGATTAATTGTAAACACGCCATCTGAAACGGTAGTTGCGTTGAATGTCGTTGTCCCAATCGCGTCGCAGATGCCCCAGTTCTGGAACTATTTGTTCCGCCATCAATTGGCCTTTGGGACCGCCGAACTCGAGGACGAGGACGACTCCACTCAGCTGCCGTATCCGAGATTTAGCGATATAAATAAATTGGCCAGCCACCGCCGAATGCCTGTTGCCTCAATTATTTTCATGTTAACATAATAATTTAGTATGGCAAAACGATTCGCCCGACTGCGATAAGCTGTTGGCTGGTCTGGCTAAACGGAATTGGAGCTGGGAGCTGGGCCGCTGGTGAATCGCCGGTCAGATCTTGACCAGATCGCCACCACCACCACCACCATCACCACCATCACAGTGCATTTTCATCGGCGGTGCATGTCTGATTTTCTATAGAATTGTTTGCCGCCGCACTGCAGCAGCAGCAGCAGCCCACGTACGTATCTCCCATGTGTTGACAATGAAGACGGTCACTTTCTGACTTTCTGGACAACAGCGGCGACAAACGCGAGGATCGCAAAACGGTCCAAGATCGGGTCGAACAAATAGAGTTTCAGCTTCAGTCAATTCCCATAGTCTGGCCGATCCGGCGATCGGTATGTAATTCTTTTCAAGGGAAATTTGTTTCGTGTCTCCCGTTTAAGAAGCTTCCAGCCTCAGCTCCAACTCCAACTCCAGCTCCTCCTGCTGACGTAGTTATTGCTGTCGATGCATCTTAATCTGCCCAGCCTGGCATTTAATCTCGTCCATTGTCTTTTACCAAACCAATGATCACGGCCAGGAGCTGCAAGTTGAGAATTACGGAGCTGGGACTTGGAAGCTGGGGAAGTCGCAACGTGAGGCGATGGAATGTGGGTATAATTTGGTTACAGTGATACTCCGACTCGTCTCTATTCAATTAGCGCATTTTTTGTCGAATTAGATAAGGGAAATTAAATTCTCAACAGATACGACATGGTGGTAAAAGTTAAGTTAGTATACGATGAGCTAATAAAGCGGTTAAGGGATTTGCTCTTTATTTGCTGATTATTGGGTTATGGTAGTAGTTAGTTATCTTATAATCTTCTCTTGCCTTTGATCAGTTAATAAAGATAGTTTTATTAACAAGTGCGCAAAGGTCTTCCTGCTCAGTTTGGAAAACTAGTTAAATCTTTCTAAGTAATAAATACAAGGTCCTACTTAAGATCTTCATTTACTATTTCCCCAATAAATAGAACTTAGAATTTATAACCAGGCTGCCTTCATCTTTCCCCCGTCTACGTTTAATTATAAAAAGGGCCCGAGATTCGCATCGAAGTTGGCATTGTCCGTGGATTATCGCCTTGTTAGCCTGGCCAGTTTGGCAGATGCTGAAAGGCTGGCTGCGACGACCGGTTTTGGGGCTTACAAATCGTCTCACGCGCAGCTTTCAAGAGCTTCGTAGCGATTTTAGCCATTTCGGGAAGTTGGCCGCTACAGTGTCTGAGCGAGCCTTTTTACATATGGCACGTTGTCCGTCTGCACGTTTAAATTTATTGTCCATTCCATTAATGGTGGCAAGGGACAGGAATTTTGTGTCTTTGAAAGTGAAATGCCATAAATTCTTGTGTCTCGTTCAGCTGTGGCATTGTATTGGCACACCGCAAGCAAACAGAGCGATTTGCCTCTCCTCTGGATCAGCAATCCTCCGATCCGTTTGCCGAATCCTTCCTTGCCTGGCATCGCATCGTAACCAAATGCCCAGAAATTCCAGGAGCGCAGAGATTCCAATACCTAGGTCGTGCGACATTTAACCGTGTTGCTGATCCGTTATTGCCACATGATCATAAAAGGATGTTGCAAATATTTCACGCAGCATTAAGTTTGGAAGGTGTTAATGGTGCATACTTCGGTATATCTCACAGATTTCAAGGAGCATTGAAGTATATTTTTATAGACTTAACAGTATTTGCTATCTAAAATATTAAATATTATAAATTAAAAACCAACTATACTTACATACTGCATTCCAAGCGATCCATTGAACATGTAAAATAAAAACAGAAGGCCTAATTAATAATTAAACTCAAGATAAAGCGCCAAAAAGCACTCAGAAAAGCAGACACAAATTCCTCAAAAAAACTAAAAAAAAACTGATGGATCCAGTGGCAGGATTTGGATAAGACCCAAGCAAGTGCATATTATTATATGTGCCATTTTCGCTTAACAAGTTAATAACACATCCAGACAGCTTCAACGGCAATTACAACCCTTCATTTCATTTTTCTGGCAGATGGATATCGCCGTCCAGCAAAGTAACTGCAGCTAGTCATACCACTAGTCAAGTGTCCTTGCCACTGTGCCACAGAAAACCCTAATGGTGCCAACTATGTATGTATGATAATGAGGGTCAGAGGAACTGGAATGCCAATGCGGGTCCTTGTGGATCAAGTAGAGTGCTTGCTTCCTTCCTTTCTTCCTTCAGAAGTGCGGATGTTCGTTTAGCGCCAAAAGTCGAGTAGAGTGCCTTGCGCTGCATGCCACTGACGTACCGTCGCTCGGAGGCGTTTTGATCGAAATTCGATATTGCGCTGATAACAGGGGAATGGGTGATCGCTTGACGGGACGGGAGCAAACGAGACCGCCTGTAACCCAGAAGCTGTCATTTTGATGAATCGCCAGGACACGAAAACTGTCATGTTTAACATGGCCCAGCTCTTGGCTCTGACTCCGCCGACTCCGACTCTGGTTATAATTAAGACTCCCTTGTTCTTTTCCGTAATTGCAGTTGGATCTGGTGTCACCGATCGGTGGGCAGCACATTGCTCTGGAGATTACTCGCAAATTAATTTATCATTAAAGGTGCACACTCGCACCGTTTTCGACTGTCAAGACCTTAACAATCTTTCGAAATAATGACGAACAAGAGTCATGTTTTTCCTAGACTCAAGTCATTAATGCGAGTTTAATTTGTGTTTGTTTTTCCGAGTTAGTTACATATTAGAGTGGTCATGTTTATACTTACGCCCTGTTTATATTTTCGGTTTGTTTGTTTCCGATCGGTGAATGTTGGTACATGGTTGTAAATTACCGAAAAAGAAAGCATTAGAATGGGAATAGTAATTAAAAGTGAATGACAAGGGGGGTTGGAATAGTAAGTTGATGTAGATAATAGATAAGGATAAATTTTAAAATGATTATAAAAGTATTTAAATGTTTTATAATATCTAATAACTTAAGATACAATATTATTTCCTTAAAATGTGAATAAAATAGGAAAAAATCACCTAATCAACGTGAAATATTAATAATTCCTCCATCCTAGCACCAACTTTAAGCTCTACCTAAACCATCGACATGCTCAGACCTAAACTAATGCTAAACTAATTTAACCCCAGATATTTAAGCCTCCAATTAAGCTATCTAGTTAGGCTATCACTTTCGAAAGGTGTGCTAGTTCCCAGAGTGATCAGAGACAAGCCACCAATCTTTCGGGACATAATTGTGAAACAGAAACAATTATTTTCTATTTACGCTAAACTGGACATGATACACATACGAGTATATGAACAAAAATAAAACCTAATCAATATCAAAGCTGACCAAATCGACAACTACATAGGTCTAATTGCCACGCCATTTCGAATAGAATAGCTAACAATCTTGACAAGCCAAAAACAACAATAATCACCGGGGATACGATAAAATAAACACAACAACAACAATAATAATGACAGCCAAAGTCTTCACAGCGTTTTTTATCAAAACGAAACAATCTAAATGATATATTAAGCGCAAAGCAAATAACGCTCTTTTTGTCGTCACCATGTCCTTTCTCTTTCGCTCCCAAGTTAAGTTATCCAATTATGCGGATTATTAATTTAACTGGGTCGTTCGCTGCCCGCTGCTGCTGCTGCTTGCCTGCCTGCCACGGCGATACCCTCGTCCATTTCCCCACCCGAATCCGTATCCGTATAAGTCCCCTGGTCAGTGGTCACTGGTCCGAGGTCCGTGGGCCGATCGCTCTCGCTGGCCACTTGTCGTTTCACAAGTTGTCAAAACTTGTCATTTAACCGACAATGAGCCTTGTTTGCTTTAATCGTGGTTATTATGCGTGCGGCTGACTTAGCCGCTCCCTCGGAATTATTAATGATGCGTCGACCGCTTTGGCAGGTGCTCTTTCCTGGCCACTGGACATTCAACACTGGCCTTTTGGCTGCCTCGCGGGGACTACTTATTGGCATCTCTGAGAGTGTCTCTAATTAGTACACTTAAAGAAAAGGAAGCACTTAAAGAGATCTATAGTATAAGTGATACTTAAAATTTTACTGAATAATCTATTGCCTGTTATATTTATTAACAGCCTTAATGATCCTTCTAAAATAGTTATAATAAAATTAAAACTCGGATTATCGACCCTGCCTGCTTTTTCTGCGTAAGCGTTCTAACGGTGCGTGTCAGTGTGCCCAGCGGGGAAAACACAAAAAGGTCGAATTTGACATTCTAGCGGGATGTTTAAATTCAACTAATTAAAAATAATTAGGACCTCTTAAAATACGTATTTAGAATAATAATATTCCGAGACTTTAGATATGTCTATATATTTTCATGTTGTTCTTTTATTATCTTTCTAAATTTCTCTCTCTGTAATCAAGATTCTGACGCATTTAGATCGCTGGCCGACGCACTTGGCTTCTTCTCTAAGCAAAATTAATTCGCAGTTGGGATAATCCTGTTATTGCCGCATTGCTGCCATGATTTATATATCACACCGAGTGTCCGGTGGCCCGACTGTCCAATTAATTCTCACCGGACCTAATTTATTCGTAATATCCCAGTGAGCTGGAGGCATGCAAAAGGGAGCCTTCCTTTAATTGGTTTTATAACAGCAGGGTGGCTCATTTGTCAATGTGGCAATCAATAAATTCGCGAACAGGTGGAAACTCATAACTGCGAACGGGCTTAGGTTGCTTTATTTTTATATTTTTTTTTCCATTTTTTGTTTTTTTTTGGTTTTTGCATCATTCAGTTGCACAGTAGTCGCGGCGATGAGGGTTCACTCCTGTGCCTGTCCAAAAGGAATGACGATCCTCGTCGTCGGCTGGCGATCGGAGACCAACGAACAGGTGATCGTCCGAGCAGAGTGCTGTTTTTGTTATTAAGTTGTTAAGCTAAATTATTGTTTTTCCCGTTTTTTTTTAGTTTATGTATTTATTGTGCTTGCCTCCTCGCCGCCATTGGCGACATTTAACAGCTCGTGCATTTATATTGTCCGACAAGACCTATTAACAACATATCAAGCACGCGTGTACAATAATATCTAAATGTTAACACAAATGACTACAATGTGGCAGTTTATTCAGTAAATGGGTATTAAGTTAGCGAAGATTTTGTTCTAAATGAAAAGGAAATATCTCTTAGTATAGGTCCGTAACTTTAGTCACATCTTATTCATATTTTTAATAGCATTTAGTTAAGGTAAAAGTTCATTTAAAGACAACCATTCCCCATTTTAATTTCTTTCATAAAGTATTTATTAAAATATTACCTACACTCTAATTAAAACTGCATATTTTGTGTGTTAACTTTCGGTTAAGTTTCAGGGTAACCATGTTGCAGTTACACGAAAAAGGAAAGATAATTGCAAAATATACCCTTGCATTAAGTGGCAATGGTTGCACACCCTTGTGGTTATTATTTTAACTTTGTGCAGATAATGAATTTCGATTAAAACAGGTTTAAGTTCTGGCCAAAACTAAAAGTCCTTGACGGCTAAGAAAAGATGGTTGCAGAAGTAACGTGTCAATGGTTTTGTTTTATAACGTGAAAACGGTTTGTATGTGCAATCATTTGCATTAAATTGCTAGATGGTGGCTAATAGGTACTAACTAGTTTTTATACTAACATTTAAGGATAAGTTTTAAAATGGTTATAAACTTACCGTCGCTGGACACTGAAAGTAAAGAGAAGAGAAGTCGTTAGTATAAGGTTTTTGAAGGCAATTTGAATGTTTTTAAGATAGAATATAATAGATCTTTATCTAGATAATGAATAATAGGAAACCTTCTTGAGATCTCCCCTTTTTGTGATCTATAAAAACTCCCAATTGCAATTAAGTTGTGCGTTCTCATTCCTTCATTCAGCACAAATCAAGTACATAATTAAATACGTAATGCCTGTATGGAATCAGTTCAGATCGATAGCTGATTTAATTGTTTGACTAATTGAGAGATTTTTTACTGCCTCAAAGGCGAACCCCCAAGACGCGCATCCAAACCACGAGAAGCTGCAGTATTATTTGCTCCATTTGGCACTCGGTTAACTTAATGACTTGATTTGCCAGACTGATGAGGTGCGGCTGATTAGCAAGCACTGGGGGACACAAAACAGGACAGTAGCGCTGGAGTTGGAGATGGAGTTGGGAGATGGGAAGAGATCCAGATCCAGAGACACAGCACAGTACGTGCAGTAACGTGGCCAACATCCTGGCCATCGTCTGATCGGCGACAATGACTCGCCATATATGCACTACATCTGGGTAGCCGCAAAAAAAAAAGCCTTAAATTTCATGCAGAATTAATTAACCGGCGGTGGCTGCTACTGCTGGCGCTCATTTCGTGTCGCCGCCGCCCAAGTAGCCAGGCGTAGTAGTTTTTGTGGCTCCATCTTTGACTCCAACTCCAAGCTCCGACTCCCAGAGTCCATGATATTTGATGACCGGGCAGACAACGCTGTGGAACACACAGAAACGCTCGACGAGAGCGGTCTGGAATTTCATTGAGAAACGTGCCCAGTACGTTGAGGTCGTGTCCCCGCCGCTTTGTCATGAGCACATCTCCACTTGGCCGATGTTTTTGGTCAATCCACTGATACAAAAATTATACACTTAAATAGGATATACAAGTAGGTAAAAAAAAATAATAAAAACAGATAAATAAAGTCAAGAAATAAGTTTTTATCCGGACTTTCTTTTAAGGTTTTCAAAGATATTTTTCAATTTTAACTTTGCTTTTATAATTCCTCAATAATCAGCTAACTGAATAAAAGTATTTTTTTTTCAGTGCACATCTGTATGCATATGCCGGCTGCTTGTTTGCCAGCAAATCTATGTTGTGGCGCCATTAGCTGCCCCGTGTCGCAATTTAATTACAAGTCCCCATCCCTCCATCCACCGACATCGGTGAGATTTATGCAAAGAATATGGACTAAGCATACGCATCGGGAATATCTGTACTGGGCAGTGGGAGCAGGAGAAATATAGAATCAGGAGCTGAAGTAGTCGTATCACATTGCTGACATCACGATGCAGTTGCATTTTCCCCGGGGATCCGTCGCTTTTTTGATGCACAACTCAATTTGGCCAAGAGCGGATCTGGCCAGCAGTTAGGCCTTAATGCTGGACAGGGCCAATGCCGAGTGGCCTATTCAAAGATATTAAGGCGAAAGCACTTGTTGCCGTCAGGCCAGGGAGCTTCTTTAAAATCGAATCACGTCCGCCCAATTTTTGGACCTGCAAAACCCAGCCCTTGCCCTTGCACAGGCCAAAACTCCGAACCCGAGAGAGAGAGTGAGAGAGACCGTCGGCTCTTGGTCTTGGAAAATTTTTAACTCCCTTGTAGGCGATTAAGTTAAATGCCACTAAACTAATTTAATAGCGATTCTGAGTGCATTCGTTGTGCCCCTATCCAATGGTAGTGAACCCTTTCCGGACTTTCATGAAACTTGCACCACATTTTCGCTGTTAAACATCTTGTCCCGTACCGTACCGCTTTACCGTCGCGTATCGTCTCGTCCCCCTTGTCACGTACGCGATCTTTGTAAAATAAATACACTCGACGCCGGGCAGATTGCTTTTCTATATGGAATTTAATTTGCGCTGACCCAAACATGTAATAACAATGCAATTTCAAGCGCAATTTTCCATCGCCCGGCCCAGTAAATCAAAGTGAGTATTTAATAAAGCGCTGACCATTTTCCCAAGGAATTTCATTTTTTGTTTTGTTTTTATTTTTCAGCCACAACCCGACGACAGACAGAATGATGCCTTGCATAGGACTCGGACTCAAATTCGGATTCAGATGCAGATTTCGATGCAGATATTGTACATACAACTGAAGATGCTGATGGAGATACAGCTAACCGGACATGGACGTCTCGTTATGCAAAATGCCAGCAATCCGGGGCAGTTAAAGTTAAGTTTATGGTGCCTATGATCGGGATGGATGGCGCTTAGCGGGGGCAACCTGTTGCGACCTGATGGGGGCGCCCCGTCGATCTGGGCATCGTAAACCCGAGACACACATTCGGGATGATTAATTTAAGCACTTTTACGAGGCCGCTTCATGGCGCTCCTGATTTATTGGCGGCCAGTGGGACGATGCTGCTTTACGATTGGCCTCAAATGGTCTCGAATAAAATCCCGGGATGCTAAATACTCTCCATTCGGTAATCGTTGGAGTTAGTAGTCATCCCCTGTCCCCCGTCAATTGACGAGGTAGGGCTAAGCTGGGCTGGGCCCATTCTAATTCCGATTCCGATTGCCAAGTTGATCGCGATGGCTGTTGCCACTCGAACATGGCCCAATGAGGAGAGTTTGGCCAGAGATTTCGTGTCTGGCAGCTGGCGCATGTTGCCATCAGACGCATTTACTATTTTGCATAAATCATAATGTAATCTGCATCTGGAAATGAAAACAAACCGATGTGGCGAGGCTAAGCGAGGCAAGGCAAGGCGAGGGCCAAGTCAAGCGAAAATGTCCAAGCGTTTATAATTAACTGCGGGGCCAGAAACCGAAGACATTTTGCAGGCGACATGCCGGGCCCAGTTGCCCAGGACTCTTGGTTCTGTTGATCCAGGCAAATACACTAACCCGGACAACCAGCATAAGCCCGAGCATAATCGCGAGTTTCTCAATGAAGCCTGCAGCTCCCCAGCATCCGACAACGCCGGCAACAACCGCAGATACTCCTACAGTCAAATCAGCAATGTGTTTTGCACTGTGAAAAACTGTTTGGGAAACTGTTTAGAAAGTATTATATTGGATCGGTTTGGGGTTTATATGGTCGGTGTTGAAGTTTGGGGCTATAATTGTCTTTTCGAAGAAAACTTATTCTTCTCCTTCTCTTTTAATTTTGTGAGGAGTAATTCAGCTGAGCTATTTGCCAATTCGCATCACTATCGTTATCCCATTCACTCTCACTTACTAAGCAACTCAAGGCAAGGCTCCACGAACAGCAATAGATAGCTTCATCTCACTTACTCTTTACATCTCAAAACGATATATCCTAGAAACGGGACATTCAACAAAAAACGAGAGGCACACAGTTGCCGTTACATCCAAATTAAATCATCGTGTCACGACATAAATATTTAAAGCTTTATAAATACATTTTTAACATTCAGTATAGCCAGCCTGATCACTAACAAAATCCATCTAGTTCTTAATTTCAAGTTATTCTTCCCATTTCTCTAAGTGCTTATGTTTCGGCACAGGCGGTCACAGATTCGCGCTCTGAAGAGGAGCAGTCCCTGGAGATGGGGGCGAGAATGGAGACCAGAGCTGGGGAGTCGAGGAGCTGGAGTCGACTACGCAGGCAAATGAATAACCCTCACCTCATGCGCAATCGCGAAATCGCAAAATCTACGCAGCGCGCGGTCATCGGGCGCCTGCCAAAACTACGGAAAATAATTTATGCCCCAGCCGACGGACCGCGGCAACACATTGGCGCAACATGCTCCGCGGAGGCAAAGTAAAGAAAGGCAAACCCAAGCAGCATATACACATACATATACACGTGCATAGCGAAGCGAGATCAGCGGGTCGGATGTTAGCCACAGCCAGAGAAACGGCCAAAATTATAAATTAATGAAATTTATGCACAATAAAATTGCAAGCGAAATTATTGATGCAGTCGTTCACGCTTTAAATGCTCCCTAAATCAAAAAGTGCCTCAAAATTATTAATATGGCCGCTGAACATGCAGCCAGACAATCAGATGGCGCTAGGCTGCCACAAAAATACAGAAAAACAAAAACAAAAACAAAAAACATTTAACATTAAACAAAAACTGAATGTTTGTGGCTATGTACAATCGTACAGGCTGAAATGTACACAGGTATAAGCGCCGGATATGTTAATCGGTAAAACATGCTCCTCCTGCCTTATGCCACATGCCGCCTACCGCCTGCCTACTGCCTCCCTACCAACCATTACCCATCGTTTAGCCGATTTGTGGAGGGGTCTTCTATCTTGTTTTCTCCTATCGAGAACACGGCGATAGGAGGTGCACTTATGCTTTGAAGATTACAATGAATATATGACTTTTTGGCTAAGAAATGAAGTAAAATAAAAAGGACAAGGACTATAATAGTTATGCAACAAATTGTGGTACTTTAAGTTATAATATTCATAGGTAGAGTCGGTAAAATAGGGATATTTAAACTCACTACCCTTAAGACTTTACCTTTAGTAAAACCCAAACTTTAGATAATAATAAACTGATTAGAATTTCCCATTTCTTAGCACTGTTCCCACCTAATCAATATTAGCTAAAAAGCCCCCTTAAAAGCCCTTTCCCACATCATTTACAACAATCTATATTACGCATTACATATGCTTTTCCTAAGCTTTTTCAGAAAGACACCAAAATTTAAGCTAATAATTAAGTGTAATATCTCGCAGACCTTCTCGGAAATCGGCAGCCGATACGTACATAAATGCGCATTAAAAACTTAATGTTTTCATTTTGTACCTTGAAAATGTAAATTAGGCCCTCTCACTAACTGCAAGATAAAATAAATTGTCAAATTACAGACACCAGATAGATTTCACGCCGCATTTTAAGTATATATATTTTTTTTTAACCATGCGACTTACAGGGAAAATTTTGTTTAAGCCAAAAACAGCTTTATCTTATCGCGGGATTTTGTTTTTGGTTTTGGTTTTGGGTTTCC